ATGACCAGGGCTAGTGTCAGCAATACCGAGACCCATTTCCATGAGGTCTACCTTATTTACATGAGCTGCTGCCCGAGTGTGCGGTCTACCTTATTTACAATTTTCACGTCACTGTAAATGTCAATTCATCAAAATGGTCACCCAGAGATACCTGGAATCATCGAGTGTGGTGCCCGTAAGCTTCCCCGAACCAAACTTCATATGCCCAAAGTTTTGGCGCGGGTGAACGACGACACGGATACATCTGCCCATGGTATGTACCCAGACCACATGCGAGGCTCGGTTTGCATTTCGCATGAGCTCCTGCAGAGCCGCATGCCCATGCCTGAAGCATTCCCTGCGAAGCCGCCAGCCAGCTGGGCTCCTGCGCCACCTGCGTCAGCTGCGCCAAATTTCACGTCAGTTTGGAGTATGGCAGGCGGGCTGAAGTGGGAGCATTTCTGTTTGCGCGACCCCGATATGCCACCTTTTTCGTAGCCCTACAGTAGTAATGGGATGCATCCCAGGCTGACGTGTAATATTGGCTGGTGATATATTCTGGAATCGCTAAACACGGAAGGGGTTTGTAAATGCTTGGGTTCCCAGCGTTGTCAGAGTCTGGCCTGATTACCAACACAGAGTCTGGTGGCTTGTAAACAATTGGTGCCAAGGGTGTCGCGTGACGAATCTAGGATTTCAATGCCCTCAAGCAGAAATGTTCAGCAGAAACCTCGGAAGCACAACCCCAAACACAAACGCGTCCGCCATACCTTCAGCATATTCCGCAAACCTCAAGGTCCAGCTGGCAAGCCAGACAATTTCCCACAAGCCAGTTTCACCCCCCTGCCCAAGCGCCTGGCTCAAACCCAGGCCTTGATTTCATCCCGCAAGCAGACCAGATTTACATTTGGGGGAGGGCAATACGCAAACTCCTCGCTTGGTTTGCACGCCTCCCCAGGGTTTGCGCTCATAGGGGGGTGTAAACCACTGGCGCACGGCGGAAGGAAGGGGAAATTTCTCCCCCCGGACCCCTTTTTTGCCCTTTAGCTGGCGCTTTAGGACGTCTGTCTCTGGCGTCTGTATTTGGTCGGGGGTTGGGGGGAAAGCTCAGCTGAGGTAGCCTTTGCTCGGCTGAGCTGGCGGAGGAGGGACAGGCAACGTAAGCGCAACAATCGATGGATGGGTTTGGCGTTGGCTTTCCTCTCTGCTGCTGCTGTTGCTGCTTACTCTTCAGTCTCAGAATACTATTTAGTTCGGAATGTCCCAGCTACATGTCTTCTGCTCAAGCAAGCGTCGAAGAGCGCCAGATTTCTTTCGTTCTTTCAAAATAGTTCACCCAGAAGTTCGTGCATCTGAGCACGTGTCTTTGTCTTTGTTTAGAAGTTGTGTGTAGGGACTTCTGTCCTGCAATGAATCCATGTTTGACGGTAAATTAGCCCCCGCGTACTATCAACAGGTTAGGGCTTTCACGGTATTGTTGTCTCTTCTTGTCCACTTTCTAAGAGCCGAAATATTTGTGGGATTTTTCGCTTTCCTCCGCCGAACTGAGCGGATGGCCGTTAACTCCTGGCAATGGGTTCTTGCGGCTTTTGAGATGTACGACAGCGTCGAGCTTGAAGATGAAGGTCTGTTTTCAAGCAGAGGCGAAAGCGCGGATTGGGGTTTGTCAACTTCTCCGAGCCGGTCGATTTCAAGAAACCGCAAGACTGTTTCACCATCGAAATCTATGGCGTCGTCGGACGATTGCAAGACTCTTGAGGTTCTGTTTTCTACAAGCGAATCTGGCAACGGCAAATGCGAGAAAAAAGATTCGTTGGCGGAGCTGACAGCTACGGAGGAGGTCATAATGAACTTCTTGGAAAGGTCAACGCTCGCGCAAGAACCCAACCAGATTGACGACCCAGTCACTGTGTTTCCGCAATGCGTGTGGCCGCTGATTGCTTACCAACAAGCCATGGTTGCAGGCTTCTGGTTGCGGATCTTCAGATTTCTCATTCCTGCAAGAAAGAAGCTTTCGGAGGACCGGATGCGTCCTGCAGACGCGGAACAACCATCCTGCGACCAACAGGACTTGCCAATAATAAGCGCTTCGGATGCGACTTCAACTGACGTAAATGCGAACTGCATCGTCTGGAGCGCTCCGCGTAGCGGCGAAACGCCAGTCGCAGCATCAGCATCGGCAGAAGCAGATTCGGACGATGCGTCGTCAGACCATCTCTTCACCGTTCCGCAGCTGGCGCCGCTCAGTCCGTCCGACGAGCCGTTCGATTCATCCAAGCTGCTTCCTCCGCTTCGCTCCGTCCACTTTAACCGCAAGACTCTCGTTCTCGATTTGGATGAAACCCTCATTCATTCCGTCTTCACGCCGATCATGAACGCAGATTTCGTCATCAGCTTGGACGTCGACGGCCGCCTGACTACTATTTACGTCCATAAGCGTCCAGGAGTGGAGGAGTTTCTCCGCGCCGTCGCGCAGGTTTACGAGGTGGTTGTTTTCACCGCGAGCATGGCGGGTTACGCGAACGCGCTCGTGGATCTCCTAGATCCGCAGCGCTGCCTCGTTCACCACCGTCTTTTCCGGGATTCCTGCATCTGGTGGCGGAATAGCTACGTCAAGGATCTGACGATGATCGGAAGGGACCTGACTAAGACCATGATAGTTGACAACAGTCCGTTCTCCTACGCGTTTCAGCCGGAGAACGGCATTGCGATACCCTCGTACTACGACGAGCAGGGGGACCGTGAGCTTGCGAAGCTTGTTCCCGCTTTAATGAAGCTCGCTACGGTCGAGGACGACGTTCGGCTCCATCTTGCGGGGCTTGGGAGCGTCCATGTGGGGTGACGATAAAATCAGCGGATGCTGATACTTGTATTGTGAAAGACACGCCATGGCATGGCACCGCAGCTCACAGCTGCTGTAACTAATAAGGAGCGCCAGCATGCGTGCTGCTATGCTCTCACCTAGGCGCTCTGCTTCCTTGTTATACGCTAGTAACTTCTCTTTCTGTGCCTTTTCCCTCACTAGTTCAGCCCCTCTCGGCCATCTCTTGTTTCGCATATACTTCAATGCTCGTTCATGGCTGTGTGGCAGCATGAGCTCCACTGTGCGTGGAGCTGGTATTTGCTCTCATACGTTTAGGTATTTTCTGTGCAACCCTTTTCTTTAGCTTGCTTCCTTGAATGTGGGAGCTTACTGGTACTTTGTATTGCAGACTAAATGTAGCACTCTTTTCCTTGTAATAATAAGAAAATGCAGCTCTTCATCAAGGCAGTGTCCTACACTTCCGTGAGATTGAATTTGATAGTGTGCAGCGAGCAGGAGACAAGATTCCAAGAAATGCACCCCCTACTCCTGACACTTTGTGTACTGTGTCCTACGGTATCCTGCTGGTTCAATCAATGACATGCAAACAGGAATTAGCTAAGAAACAGAATTGTCAACACGGCGGACTCGGTCTCAGCAGCCTACAACAGAGCACTAGCTCAACATAGAGCGCGGCATTCAACAAACACATAAGGAACAGTTGATAGTTGGTTCTTCAGTAGTCCGTATTTGCCACTGAAAGTTACTTCTGAAACGGATTCGGTGCTGCAGCTGACCCAGAAGGCTTTCCAAATGTTGCCATCGTGCCCGTTGGGTTTGCAAAGTTGAATGGCGGAGGGGAAGGGAAGGGAGACGGCTGCCCAGCAGCAGCAGAAGCAGCAGCTACAGAGGAGCTGTCTGGGCCCTTCTGGGAGAAAGGGCTGGAGGGGTTTACAGATGCGAAAGAGAAAGCTGGTGCTGTTGACCCGAATGCTAGTGCCGACGATCCGAATGCTGGGGCTGATGTCGCGAATGCTGGCGCTGATGTTGCAAATGCTGGTGCTGATGATCCGAATGCTGGTGCTGACGATGCAAAGATGCTTGATGCTGATGGTTGGCCTGCTGCAAATGCAGGTTGGCTTGCAGGTGCTCCTGCTGTTGCTGCGGTTTTCACCTCAGGAAAGGGCCTGAACCAGCACCAGAAAAAAAAAAGAAACGGAGAAAAATAGCCCCAGACAAAGAGAAACACAAAGTTGAGACGAGAGAAGTGGAATTGAACGAATGGAAAGCAGCTATTGTTGATTTGCCCTTACGAAGTAAACCGATTTTTGAGTCGACTCAAAAATGGAAAGCAGCTATTGTTGATTTGCCCTTACGAAGTAAACCGATTGATAACCATGGCATGAAGGGTGACTAGCACCCACTGATATCTCTGCTCTTGACAGCAACAGCAGCCTTCTGTAAGCTTCCGGGATAACACTGCCATGAGCTCACCTAAACACACCAACCGAGCCCTTGAAAGCTTAGAGGTGCCTCACAAAAATTTGGGGACTTGTGAGGTGCCTAAAAAAAAAAAAAACTTCTCTCGACAACACTGCTATGATCTCACCTGAACACACCAACCGAGTCCTTGAAAACTGCAGCAGGCTCGTTGCTGCTGGAGGTGAAATGGCCCACGCCCTAGGCCTTACCGAACGCGTCAGGTAACCAGGTAACACCGCTATCATCTCACCTGAACACACCAACCGAGTCCTTGGAAACTGCAGCAGGTTTGTTGCTGCTGCTGGTGCTGATGGTGAAAGTGTTGATGCTGCTGTTGGTGAAACGTTTCTGGTAACCCAGTAACGATGTGACACGCTCACCTGAACACACCGACCGAGACCTTGAAAGCTGCAGCAGGCTCGTTGCTGCTACCCTAGGCATCATCACTATAGCACTCAGGGTCTGGTAACCAGGTAACACTGACATGCTCACCTGAACACGCCAACCGAGTCCTTGAAAGCTGCCGCAGGCTCATTGCTGCTGGTGGTGAAATGACCCACGCCCTTGGCCTTACCGAACGCGTCTGGTAACCAGGTAACACTGCCATATGCTCACCTGAAAACACCAACCGAGTCCTTGAAAGCTGCCGCAGGCTCGTTGCTGTTGGTGGTGAAATGACCTATGCCCTTGGGCTTACCAAACGCGTCTGGTAGCCAGGTAACACAGAAATGCTCACCTGAACACACCGACCGAGTCCTTGAAAGCTGCCGCAGGCTCGTTGCTGCTACTGTTGTTGGTGCTGCTGGCGGTGAAATGACCCACGCCCTTGGGCTTACCGAACGAGGTCACCCCACCTCCCCCGAACAAAGCGCTTCCTCCTGATTGGCTGCCTCCTCCGAACAAACTGCTTCCCGAACCAAACAATGGGGCTGCCGAACCAGCAGGACCGGCAGCGGCAGCAGCAGAAGTTGTTGCAGCAGCAGCAGAACCAGCAGCAGGAGCACTCAGCCCTTTATCGCCACCAGCACCGCTCAACCCTCCCTCTGCCCCACCCCTGGCCCCTTCCTGTGACTGTGTGGTATCGGGTTCTGATCCGTCTTGAGAAACCCGCATGCCAAACAGGGGGTTCTGATGCAACACCTGCGCATTTCCCAGGGGTACTGGCGCTGTTGCCCCTCTTGCTAAGGGCGCTGGGCCGGCGCCTACGGGTCCCTGCTGCCCGAACTGCCCAGATCCGAAAAGTTTGCGCTGGAGCGGGAGCTCTGATTGGCCGGGAGCAGTGGGAGCAGAGGAGGCGGCGGGGGCAGTTGAAATGAAAGGAGGAGGGGAGGCTGGAGCTGGGGGAAAGGAGAAGAGCGACAATGGCTGCTGCTGCTGCTGCTGCTGTTGAGATTTGCTAGAGGATTTCGGGAACGAGAGGGGGGAGCCTGAGAGGGATGCTGCACCCCCCGCGCCCCCAAGTATGGGAGAGCCAAAGTGGGGAGAGGGAGCAGCTTTGGGAGAGGAGGTCTTGGCAGAGGGCGACTGAACTGACGGCATGGGCATGCGTGGGAAAGCTGTGGTGGGAAGACCTTTGGAGGATGCTTTGGGATGACTCTTGGTGTCTGGTTTGACTGGTGCTGTTCTTGCTGGGATGGCTGTGGTGGTGGTGGGGAAGGCAGAGGGTTCGCCGTGTGCTTGGACGATTTGCTGTCGTTCCGAAGGAGCGATGAGTTGAAGCACCGACTCCTGGGAAAGGGGAAGAAGGGAGACGAAGAGGGGGTGAGTGGGGAAGGTGGTGGTGGGGAAGGCAGAGGGTTCGCCATGTGCTTGAACGATTTGCTGTCGCTCCGAAGGAGCAAGCAGTTGAAGCACTGGCTCCTGGGAAAAGGGAAGTAGGGGAGAAGGGAGAGAAGGAGGGGGTGAGGGGGACAGCAGAGGGTTCAACATGTGCTTGAACGATTCGCTGGCGTTCAGAAGGAGCAATCAGCTGAAGCACAGACTTCTGGGGAGAGGGGGGGGAGATAGGGGTGTGCAGGCAAAAGGGGAGAAAGACGGGGTGGAAAAGGACGGGGAGGGAGGGGTTGGGCGGGGGAGAAAAGAGTAGTGGGGAAGAGATTGGTGAGCCAAAATAAATGCAACGGATAGAGCCAGCGTCAATTTTTTTGCCGACTCAAAAATCGACTAAAAAATCGACTCATCACACGCGGATTGTAGTGGGGAAGAGATTGGTGATCCAACATGAATGCAACGGATAGAGCCAGTCCCGGGGTCTATGGCTTTAAACCACTATATATACACTCCATTCCCCTTTCAAACAGACACGTACCAGCAGCCTTATCCTCTTCTCGCGCAGCTGAACCGTCAATCCCTTCCCTCCTCTGCTCCGTTTCCTTGACGATCCTTTTGCTGCAACATCAGCACCAGCAGTACCGACAGCAGCTGCACCAGCTGTAGCATCCATGGGACTTCCTCCTTCCTCCTTCTCTCCATCCTCACTCCCTCGCTCCTGCCACCCCTCCTCATCCTCGTTATTGGCCTCTTCACTCTCCTGCTCTGCCTCTACTGCTGCCTCTATAGCCCACACTTGCTTGTGCGCCGATAGTGCTGCCTTGTAACGAGCCCTCTGCAAGACAAAGAACAGGGAAGGAAAGCGGGAGAGGGGAAAGGAAGAGTGTGGATGGGAAAGGGTAAAACAAACGGGATTAAGAATGTAAAATGCCCCCCAACTCAACAGCGAGCACATGCTTGTGTGATACTGCTACCTTGTAACAAGCCCTGTGCAAGGGAAGCAAAAGAGAAAGGAACTGGGAAAGGGATAAGGAGGAGTGTAGATGGAAACACAGAGAGAGACACACACTCAGAACCCCAACACACACGACATTTGCCTCCACATGAAAAGCACGGGCAGAGTGCCGCACACTCCTTCTGGTTGCTGCGCTGTGCAGGCCAGCAGGCAGCGCTGCAGCACTGCTCCCTCCCTGCCCCTCCAACTCAGAGAGAGAAAGACATGCTCTCTGGGAAGGTGTTGAACCATGACACCCAAAAGACTCACCTCCACATGGAGGAGCACGAGCAGAGTGCTGTGCTGCAGCACTCCCTCCAGTTGCTGCGCTGTGCGGGCCAGCAGGCAGCGCTGCAGCACTGCTCCCTTCCTGTGAACCTACATGAGAGCCCCCCCCCTACATACACAAGCTTGCTGCTCACCTCCACATAGAATTGCACGAGCAGAGTGCCTCACGCCCCCTCTGGTTGCTGTGCCTTTCGAACCAGCAGGCAGCACTGCAGCACCGCCCCCTCCCTGCCCCTCCAGGGGAACGCCAGCACCTCGGGAACTGCCCGGTGCCTTTTGAGAATTCTCTAACTGCTGCCTTTTGAGAATTCTCAAAAGTCACACCAATCTACCTGCTGCCTCACTGCTTGCCTGCGGGTCCCTCACATAAGCGACTCACCTCCACATGGAAAAGCACTAGCAGAGTGCCGCACGCCCCCTCTGGTTGCTGCGCCGTGCGGGATAACAAGCAGCACTGCAGCACCGACCCCCCTCCCTGCCTCTACTTGCATGAGCCCAGATCACCCGCTAGACACACAGACTTACCTGCACATGGAAGAGAACCAGTAAAGTGCCGCACGCCCCCTCGGGTTGCTGAGCCATTCGAACCAGCAGGCAGTGCTGCAGCACTGCGCCCTCCCTGCCCCTCCAGGGGAAGGCCACACCTCGGGAACTGCCCGGTGCCTCACTGCCAGCCAGAAGAGCATACCCGTATGGCAGCTCACCTCCACATGGAAAGCACTAGCAGAGTGCCGCACGCCCCCTCTGGTTGCTGCGCCGTGCGGCTTAACAAGCAGCGCTGCAGCACCGACCCCCCTCCCTGCCTCTCCTTGCATGAGCCCAGATGACCCCAGATGACCCGCTACACACACGAGCTCACCTCCACATGGAAGAGAACAAGAAGAGTGCCGCACGCCCCCTCTGGTTGCTGCGCCGTGCGGCTTAACAAGCAGCGCTGCAGCACCGCCCCCTCCCTGCCCCTCCAGGGGAACGCCAGCACCTCGGGCACTGCCTGGTGCCTCACTGCCAGCCAGAAGAGCTCCGATACAAGCACATCCACTGCTTCTGTATGAGCACTTTTCGCTGCTTCGTTATCAGCACTCCCAACAGCACCAGAAACAGCGGCATCGGAACCATCAGCAGCATCAGCAGAGTCAGGAGCGTCAGCAAGTGGGTGAGGAGAGGACGGGTCGTTGATACTTAGTTGCTTGCAGTAGGCTCTAAGGTACAGGAAAGCCTCTGTTAAGAGCCGATTCTCTATAAGCACGCGCAGTGCGGTCACTGCTTCCTCTAGAGGCACGGCCAGATTCGGGAAAACGGGGGTTGCCGAGCCTGGGGTGCTGCAGGCTTGGAAGATTGCCGGGCCTGGGCTGCAGGCTCGGAGGATCTGGAGCGCAGGCTCGGGCTTGCCTCGTTCGATGAGGACTCGAGCGATCCGGGGATGGATGGGAGGGGCCGATGAGGAGGGAGAGGATGAGGAGGAGGAGGGAGAGGAGAGGGAGATGAGGTGAGGTATCAGGGAGCCAGCCTCCTGCACACAGAGAGAAGGTGAGAGGAGAGAAAGGGGTGAGAAAGGGGAGTGAAAGGGCAGCAGAAAAGCAGGCAGGCAAGCAGGACAGCCACCGAAGACACACCTCTAGTCCGTCTTGTGTCTGTTCATCAAGCATCACCATCACCATCGTCTCTACCTACCACATGCCCATCACCCACATGCAAGCAAGAAATCAAACACGTACCCACCCACATGCAGCACCGGCAAGCAAACATATACCTCCAGCCCATCTTCTGTCTGTTCATCCAGCATCACCATCACCATTACCATCACCATCACCATCGAATCAACCACGTGCCCGTCATCCACGACCAGCAAGCAGGCATGTAAGCACAGATGCAAGTAAGCAAGCAGGCATGTAAGCACACATGCAAGTAAGCAAGCAGGCATGTAAGCACCACAACGAACACATATTTCAAGTCCAAGCACGCTCTCAAGTCACTCAACACATCCCTAGGGTGCTTTGTTTGTTGCATGCCACTCAAACAAATACCTCCAATCCCTCCTCTGTCTGTTCATCCAGCAGCACCATCACCATCGTCTCTCTCATGTGTCCATCACCCACGTGCAAGCACGCCCCCAAGTGATGGGGCTTCCTTGCTCGCACACCACTCAAACACGTACCTTCAGTCCCTCCTCCGTTTGCTCATCCAGCAGCACCATGACCATCGTCTCTACCATGTGCCCCCGCCCCCCCCTTAGCAAGCAACCATGCACCCATCTCTATCCCTCTCACCTCTAATCCGTCTTGAGTCCGTTCACCGAGCATCACCATCACCATCGTCTCCACCACGTGCCCATCACCCACGTCCTTGCTCGCCCCAAAGTCCTCCACCAGCCCTGTATAGTGCATCCTTGCTCGCACACACACTCCACAAACACATACCTTCAGTCCCTCCTCTGTCTGTTCATCCACCATCACCATCACCATCATCTCCACTACGTGCCCATCACCCACGTCCATGCTCGCTCCCAGGTCCTCCACCCACCAGCCCTGTACGGTGTTACCTTGCTCGCACACCACTCAAGCACGTACCTTCAATCCCTCCTCTGTCCGTTCATCGAGCATCACCATCACCATCACCATCGTCTCCACCACGTGCCCATCACCCAAATCCATGCTCGCTCCAAAGTCCTCCACCAGCCCTCTATGGTGCTTCGTAACACACTACGTACCTTCAATCCCTCTTCAGTGCATTCATCCACCATCACCATCACCATCGTCTCCACCACGTGCCCATCACCCAAATCCATGCTCGCCCCAAAGTCCTCCACCATCCCCCGCCACCGCTGCTGCCCCTCGCTCTGCCCTCCCTGGTAGAATCGATCAATGAGGTAATAGAGGAACTGGGGAAAGAGCAGGAGGGGGGAGCGTGGAGGAGAGGGGGCGGAAGAGGGGGGGAGAAAGGGGTCAGTCGTCCGCAGTCCTCCACCATCCCTCGCCACCGCTGCTGCCCTCCCTGGTAGAAGGGGTCAATGAGGTAATAGAGGAACTGGGGAAACATAAAATGGCATGGGAAAAGGGGAAGAGAGGGAGGAGAGAGGGGTCAGTCGTCCATGCTCGCCCCAAAGTCCTCCACCATAGCCCGCCACCGCTGCTGCCCCTCGCTCTGCCCTCCCTGGTAGAAGCGATCGATGAGGTAGTAGAGGAGCTGGGGAAGGGAAGGGGTGGGGGAGAAAGGATGGGTTGGAAGACAGAGAGAGGGGATGCGTGCATGTTGTGGTGGGCAGGGCCCTCAACCAGCCCCCCCCACCGCTGCTGCCCCTCGCCCTGCCCTCCCTGGTAGAAGCGATCGATGAGATAGTACAGGAGCTGGGGAGAGAACAGGAGCCAGAAGCATGTGGGAAGAGGAGGCGGAGAGGGGGGAGAAGAGAGGGGAAGAGAGGGATAAGAGGAGGGGAAGGGAAGGCAACAAGGGAGGGCCTTCATTTGTCCGCCACTACAGCCCCCACCACCGCTGCTGCCCCTCGCCCTGCCCTCCCTGGTAGAAGTGATCGATGAGGTAATAGAGGAACTGGGGAAAGATAGCACGGCAGGGGAGGGAGGCGGAGAGGGAGGGCAACAGAGGCGTTCTTTCATCCGTCCGCCACTACAGCCCCCACCACCGCTGCTGCCCCTCGCCCTGCCCTCCCTGTTAGAAGCGATCGATCAGGTAGTAGAGGAGCTGGGGAAGAGAAGGGGTGGGGGAGAAAGGAAGATGGGGAAAGGGATTGGGTGCATGTAGTGCTGGGCTGAGTTCTCCACGAGTCCCCGCCACCTCTGCTGCCGCTCGCCCTGCCCCCAATGGTAGAAACGACCAATGAGGTAATAGAGGAGCTGGTTGGAGGAGAGAAGAGGGAGAGAGGAGGGAAGGGAGCAAAGGTTAGCACCATGAGCCTGGAAACGGCCACCGCTGCTGCCCCTCGACCTGCCCTCTATGTTGAGTTTACTTTTGAGAATTCTTTTGAGTTTACTTTTGAGAATTCTTTTGAGATACTTTAGAGAATTCTCAAAAGGTTAACACCATGAGCCTGGAAACGGCCACCGCTGCTGCCCCTCGACCTGCCCTCTATGTTGAGTTTACTTTTGAGAATTCTTTTGAGTTTACTTTTGAGAATTCTTTTGAGATACTTTAGAGAATTCTCAAAAGGTTAACACCATGAGCCTGGAAACAGCCACCGCTGCTGCCCCTAGACCTGCGCTCCCTGGTAGAGCAGCTGAACGGAGGAAAGAGGGTCAGAGGAAGCAGCGGGGAGTAATTTCACTCCTCCACCACCACCAGTCGCTCCCCCCCCCCAACTTCAAAGCGCATGAGAAGGACATGAATGAGTAGCGCTGTGTTATTGAACAACAGAAAAGAGAAGAACAAGGAGACAAAGAAGAAGAAGAAGAACAACAACAACATATTAACTCACAATGGCTTTCTTAGCCAGCACTAGGTCAGCCCCAGCCTCCAAGAACAGATAATCCACAGCTGCCCGGAAATTCTCGGGCGGGTATTGAAACCCCACCGCTGCTGCTCCTCCTCCTGCTCCACCCACTAACCCAGGGCTCCCTCCCTGCAGGAGAAACTTCCCGGAAGCAGCGGGCGGTGCGGTGGGTACCGGCTGCTTGAGAGACAGCAAATCAAGCTGATCTGAACTCAGCAGCGAGGGGGAATCAGATGCAACACTTGCGCTTTCCTTACTGCCATCGCGGCTGCTTTCCCTTAGGCTGTCTATTGCTTCCTCGATAAACAGCTTCCCATTCTGCTGCTGCTGCTCCTTCGACCCCCCTCCTCCCCCTCCCCCCCCCCCCCCTCCTCCTCCCCTGCCTCCTCCCCCTCCCCCTGCTCCAAGCACGGAGCCAGCAGCAGCAGATACGCCAAGGAACTCCGGCCAGGCGGCCTCGTTTGCCGCCTGCTTTCTCTGGCGAATCACGGCGCGCCACGTGGCGTTCGACGAGTGGCGAGGAGGGATGCCCTCGAAGAAATGGTTCTTGGCAGCCCAATGCATCACGTCTAAATGCTGCAGACATGTGGGCACACATGACGAGAAGAGAGGGGCAATACAAGGGTAAAAAGGAGGAAGAGAAAGGTGGGAGAGGAAGATGAGGGGGTGGCCCCTCGAAGAAACGGTTCTAGATGCTGTGGGGGGGAGAAGGAGGAGGGGGAAGGGGAAGAGGGGAGGAGAAGAGGGAAGAAGCGGGAAGAGGGAAGTGAGGGAGGAGGTAGGTAGGACCTCGAAGAAACGGTTCTTGGCAGCCCAGTGCATCACGTCCAGATGCTGTAGGCAGGCAGAGAAGTCATGCAGACATGCAGACATGCAGACATGCAGGCAGGGAGGTTTTGAGCTGAAAAGAAACATGAAGAAGCGGTTCTTGGCAGGCAAGCAGGGCGGAAAAAGGGTGGAAAAGGATCGGGGCAGGGTGAGAAGAAAGAAAAGAAAAGAAAAGAAAAGAAAAGGTGAGAAAAGGAGGACGAGGGGCGGGAGACATGAAAAAAAGGGTTTTAAGACGTCTCGAAAGAGGGGCTTGAGACATGAAAAACGGTCCTTGGGTGGGTGTCGTTGACATGAAAGCCACTTTATCAACTCACCACTCCTTCCCCACTGTCCTCCCCACTACCCTCACCACTGCCTTCAAGTTTCAACATAGAAAATGTTCTCAAATGTGTACTGCTCTCACCTTGGATGCTCCTCTTCCAACTGCTTCTGCCACCCTCCCTGCCTCCCACTCATGCCCTTTGTGCCCCTCTGTGGCCCTTCCCTCACCCTTTTCCCCCTTCAACTCCCTCCCGCTGCCCCCATTCAAACACTCTCACCTGGGATGCTCTTCCAACTGCTTCTGCCACCCTCCCTGCCTCCCACTCATGCCCTTTGCGCCCCTCCGTTGCCCCGCTCCCCCCGCTTCCCCCTCTTCCACCTTCCCCCTGCTGCATCTGCGCCTGCTGCTGCGCCAGGGGGTCGTCTGGGCCCTGCAGTGTTGCCAGCACCTGAGAAATCCCCTGCAGGCGCATGGCCAGGCAGGTGGCGTCATCCATACGGCGATCAGTGATGCCAGAGGAGTCTGGAGGGACGGGGGGTGCGGGGGGAGGGGGGGGAAGGGGGGTGGAAGAGAGGGGGGTGGGGAGGGTGGGGGAGAGAGAAATCCCCTGCAGGCGCATTGCCAGGCAGGTGGCATCATCCATACGACGGTCAGGGATGCCAGAGGAATCTGGATTCTGTAGTAGGAGGAGGGGGGTTGCAAGGTGCGGCGGAGAGAATGGAATGGAAATAGAAATCGGGGAGGGGGATGGAGTGGGCTGTGGGGCCAGGCAGGTGGCATCATCCATGCGGCCGTCTGTGATGCCAGTGGCGTCTGGAGGAGGGGGGATTGGCAAGGGGGGAGGGGGGGTGGATGGGATGGAAATAGAATATGACCTTGGAGATGGAGTGGGCTGTGCGGCCAGGCAGGTGGCATCATCCATGCGGCCGTCTGTGATGCCAGTGGCGTCTGGAGGGAGGGGAGAATTGGGGGGGAAAGGGGGCGGAAGAGAGGGGGTGGAGGTGGGGGAGAGAGAAATACCCTGCAGGCGCATTGCCAGGCGCATTGCCAGGCGCATTGCCAGGCGCATGGCCAGGCACGTGGCCAGGCACGTGGCCAGGCACGTGGCATCATCCATAGAGCGATCCGTGATGCCAGAGGCGTCTGGAAGAGGGAGGGTGAAAGGGGAGAGGGGAAAGGGGGGAAGAGGGAGGGAAGGAGGAAAAACGTTGGGAGGATGGGGGGGAGATTATGGAGAGGGAGATAGGGGATGGGGGGAGCGTGGTGCGCGGCCGGTAAGGCAGGTGGCTGGCATCATCCATGTGACGGTCAGTAATGCCAGTGGCGTCTGGAAGATGGGGGGGGGGAGGATTAGGTGGAGGGGGAAGGGAGTCAATGGGATGGAAATAGGGGACGAGACGGAGTGGGCTGTGTGGAGACCACAAGGAACTGCACACCATCACACGGTACCACAAAGAACCGCACAGAACAGAACCGCACAGAACAGCACTCACAGAGGTCCCTAAGCGTCCTCTTGATCCCGGTGAAGGTCCTCTGGGCCCAGTCGAGCACGAGCCTGGGATCCAGCAGCAGAGAGAGCACCGGTTTGCTGGAGACTGCTGCTGCTCTGAACTAAAACCACCCTGAGCCGTACAGAACCGCACAGAACAAGATAGAGCCACTCACATAGGTCCCTTAGCGTCCTTTTTATCCCGGTGAATGTCCTCTGGGCCCATTCAAGCACAAGTTTTGGGTCCAGCAGCAGAGAGAGCACTGGATCGCTGGAGACTGCTGCCTCGTCCATGCACACTTCCTCAACATCTGATGGCGATGGGGGGGAGGAGGGGGCAGGAATAGGCAAATGATGTGGTAAGAGAAGAGGCAGCAGGACCGCTGGAAACCGCTGGATCAAGCAGGCACCGGATCGCTGGAAACCGCTGCTTCATCCATATGTATACCTCCACGGCTGTTGAACGCAGGGGAGTGGTGTGCGGGGGGGAGGATGGAAGAGACCAGAGTGAGTGGAGGACAAAGGGAAGGTGACCGTGAGAGCACCGGGCCGCTGGAGACTGCTGCCTCTGTTAGAATTATATTATAGCATGCTAAGCCTTTTGTGACTGTACACCAAGTGTGGTGTACAGTTGGGTTGGGACTACACCCAACTTTGGGTGTAGCCTTGCATGCTGGGGTGTCAATCCAACCCAATTGTGGTGGAGCCCCCAAATGCAACCCATTGGTCCTTAGGGTGCCAACATTTGGTAAATGTTGCCAACCCAACCCAATGGGCCACAGGGTTGGTCCCAATTGCAAGTTGGGGTCCCCTTCCACCCCACTTGGGATAGGGCTTCCCAACCACCACCACCCAACTCTTTTCCCTTCCAAGCTCCCCTTCCAAGCTTACCCTCCAATCACTATGTATGCTCCTTTCTCATTCTAATGAAACAACTCTTGAGTTCACTTCTTCACAACTATGGAATTCTTTCAGCCTCGTCCATGCACACTTCCTCCACGTCTGTTGGCGTTACAAAAAGGGGTGGTGAGGGGGGGTGGAAGCATAGGGGAAGGATGGATCAAAAGGAGAGTAGAGAGAGCATGGAGAGCACTGGGTTGCTGGAGACCGCCGCCTCGTCCATGCATACCTCATCCAACAGATGAGCGACACTCACAGTGGCAAATGAGGGTGAAGAGCCCACGATCCAGAGCAACGTCAAAGAGGGCAAACAGCCACCAGGGCGCCGGTTGGGTCAACGAGTGGAAGGCTTATTGGAAACTCACAGTGGCAGATGAGAGTGACGAGCCCGCGATCCAACGCAATGTCAAACAGCGCGAACAGCCTCCGCACGTCCATGGGGCACCCTTGGGCGTCCGCCCACAGCCCCCTACTGCTCCGGCCTCCCATACCCCTCCCTTACCAGCCCCACTCACAGTGGCAGATGAGAGTGACGAGCCCGCGATCCAACGCAATGTCAAACAGGGCAAACAGCCTCCGCACGTCCATGGGGCACCCCTGAGCATCCGCCCCCAGGCTCCCAATCCCCCCTCCGCCTCCCCCTGCTGCTCCAGCCCCCCACCCGGCAGCATCCTTCCCCACGTCTTTAAGAGGGCTGACAAGGCCTGCATCTACACACGCGTCGTATAGACGAATATAAATTCGCTCGCCTGATTGCCACGCGAGCCCCCCTCGCCCTGCTTCTCCCCCTGCTGCTCCGCCAGCAGCAGCAGAAGCAGGGGCCCCGATGGGGCAGCGGCAGACGGGGCAGGAGGAGCAGCGCTGGGCGCACTCCCCGCAGAGGCAGGCGTGGCGGCAGGGCAGCAGGCAGTGGTGCACGGTGCGCCCACACGGCCTCATCTCGCGCATGGCTCGGCACCTCTCCGCCCTCGCCTCCAGAGGAAGGGCCCTGGCAGGGGTGCTTGCCAGGCGCAGCAGCACCTCCTGTTTCAAAGTTTAGGGTTTGAGGGTTAGGAGTTGGGTTTGAGGGTTAGGAGTTGGGGGGAAGGGAGGAGGAGGGAGGGGAGGGAGGGGAGGGAGGGAGGAGGGGAGGAGGGGAGGGAGGGGAGGGAGGGGAGGAGGGGAGGAGGAAGCTAAGAGAGGGGTTGAAGGGAAGAAGTGGCGGCAGGGCAGCAGGCAGTGGTGCACGGTGCGCCCACACGGCCTCATCTCGCGCATGGCTCGGCACCTCTCCGCCCTCGCCTCCAGAGGAAGGGCCCTGGCAGGGGTGCTTGCCAGGCGCAGCAGCACCTCCTGTTTCAAAGTTTAGGGTTTGAGGGTTAGGAGTTGGGGGGAAGGGAGGAGGAGGGAGGGGAGGGAGGGGAGGGAGGGAGGAGGGGAGGAGGGGAGGGAGGGGAGGAGGGGAGGAGGAAGCTAAGAGAGGGGTTGAAGGGAAGAAGTGGCGGCAGGGCAGCAGGCAGTGGTGCACGGTGCGCCCACACGGCCTCATCTCGCGCATGGCTCGGCACCTCTCCGCCCTCGCCTCCAGAGGAAGGGCCCTGGCAGGGGTGCTTGCCAGGCGCAGCAGCACCTCCTGTTTCAAAGTTTAGGGTTTGAGGGTTAGGAGTTGGGGGGAAGGGAGGAGGAGGGAGGGGAGGGAGGGGAGGGAGGGAGGAGGGGAGGAGGGGAGGGAGGGGAGGAGGGGAGGAGGAAGCTAAGAGAGGGGTTGAAGGGAAGAAGTGGCGGCAGGGCAGCAGGCAGTGGTGCACGGTGCGCCACACGGCCTCATCTCGCGCATGGCTCAGCACCTCTCCGCCCTCGCCTCCAGAGGAAGGGCCCTGGCAGGGGTGCTTGCCAGGCGCAGCAGCACCTCCTGTTTCAAAGTTTAGGGTTTGAGGGTTAGGAGTTGGGGGGAAGGGAGGAGGAGGGAGGGGAGGGAGGGGAGGGAGGGAGGAGGGGAGGAGGGGAGGGAGGGGAGGGAGGGGAGGAGGGGAGGAGGAAGCTAAGAGAGGGGTTGAAGGGAAGAAGTGGCGGCAGGGCAGCAGGCAGTGGTGCACGGTGCGCCCACACGGCCTCAGCTCGCGCATGGCTCGGCACCTCTCCGCCCTCGCCTCCAGAGGGAGGGCCCTGGCAGGGGTAGCAGCCAGGCGCAGCAGCAGCTCCTGTTTGGGGGGAGGAGGAGGGGGAATGGGGTCCAGGAGGGAAGTAATGGGGGAGGTCACATGGCACGGCACCGCTCCGCCCTCGACTCCAGCCAGAGGCGGCGCGGTGACTTTTGAGTCGACTCAAAAGTCACTAGGAATGGGGGGGATCGCATGGCGTGGCACCGCTCCGCCCTCGCCTCCAGCCAGAGGCAGCGCGGTGACTTTTGAGTCGACTCAAAAGTCACTAGGAATGGGGGGGATCGCATGGCGTGGCACCGCTCCGCCCTCGACTCCAGCCAGAGGCAGCGCAGTGACTTTTGAGTCGACTCAAAAGTCACTAGGAATGGGGGGGATCGCATGGCGTGGCACCGCTCCGCCCTCGACTCCAGCCAGAGGCAGCGCGGTGACTTTTGAGTCGACTCAAAAGTCACTAGGAATGGGGGGGATCGCATGGCGTGGCACCGCTCCGCCCTCGACTCCAGCCAGAGGCAGCGCGGTGACTTTTGAGTCGACTCAAAGTCACTAGGAATAGGGGGGATCGCATGGCGTGGCACCGCTCCGCCCTCGCCTCCAGCCAGAGGCAGCGCCCTAGCGGGGGTCCCCCCCAGCCGCACCAGCACCTCTTGTTTCGAGGGGGAGGGGGGGGGGGGGGGGTGGATGGGGAGGGAGGCCTATGGGGGGAAGCGCCGCGAGGCAGGGCCCTCGCGGGGGAAATCGTCAGGCGCAGGCACCCCCTGGTTGAGGAGGTAAAGGAGGTGTGGAGAGATGGAGGGGAATGGTAGCATTCCCCAGGCCAGACGTGCTGAACTGAACAAATGCTAGTGATTTCAGAGATTCATCAGGCTGGTAACATTCTCCGCCCGATTAGCTCGGAGAGTTTCTCAGCAGGATAATAGCATTTCTCAGGCTGGTGGCATTCCGAGAATGGAGTACTACCAAGGTGCAAGTTTTAGGGTACATTCGGGGCTCTGGTCAGACCACTGGTCAACAACGCCTGTACAGCTTACAATTAGCACAAATGGTGAGCATTAGCTACGATTTAGGGTCACAAGCACGACTGGCCGGAAGTTTGACCAGAGCCCGGAATGTACCCTTAGACCCCTCGGATGTCATTGATCGCATACAGTCGGAATTACATCGCGTTGCGATTCGATACAGTGTAACTGCCCTTCGATTCCCTCTTAACAACTGCCTCGTTATTCGACACAGTGTACCTGCCGTACCTTCCATACCTGCTGACGGCGGCGGCATTGACGTGGACACAAGATCTCCCTAGGGTGATTCTCAACATTGTACCTGCCGTACCTGCTGACGGGAGTGATTTTAAATTTGGTGCACCCTGTCGTTCCTAGAATAACGCGATAAAACATACTCGCTACGGTAACTCGTTACAAGGTACTGTCCGTACTGAGGGAAACTCTAAACAGTGCTCCTGCCGTACCTGCTGACGGCGGTCCATGATGTCTGATCAGGACCGGATAATCGAGAATCCAACGGGTGGACGTTAGATCGAGGATCAGCAGCCCGTACGATCCGACGATCAGCAGCCCGTCGACTATTCAATATCAACCGAATTTCCGCTCCGAGGCCAGTATGATGGTTGCGGCCAACACTCAACTCAATACAGCCGCTGAAGCTGAAGCTGGCGCTGCTGTCTTAGTTTACTGCACGAAACCTGTGTTGGAATCCCCCCACTCGAAATAAAAAACTTGCAGTTACTTTGGTGGAGGCACAATCGGTTTTGTGTGTTTTGGTCAGGTGCAATATCGTTTTTCGTGGTACAGTCTGGTAGCAGCTCGAACAGCGCATACTAAGCCCGCTACTGAGGTTTGAAGCTGGTTACGATATGCTGTTGATTCGCTGACACCCTCGCGAATCACAAATCTATGTCGCGGTGGGAAGTCTCTGGGACGTGATACTCGTCACAAGTTCATCCGTTAACAAGTACTGCTCATGCTTTTCAGAGTACATAACATATTTGCAGTGTAACACCACCGAATCAGCGACAATCGTAATCGGTTCATGTTCTTTCGCCAGATTCGCTGACAACGTCGCGAAACTGTTTACATTCGCAACCGAACTGAATCAGAGCAGCAGGCAGCCGAGTACAGATCATTCCGAGATTCGGCTCTGTACAGAGCCTCCTAACGGCTCTAATTCCCGATCCAGAGTAGAACTAGAAATAAAATATTCGATCACTGATCGGAGCCGACTCGCGGTTCTAATCGCAGCCATGACGGTCATTACCAGTGCGAGCGGCCTGCTGGCCATGCTCGACGAGGAGGAGCCGGCTCTCCGCGTGTACGCTCTCAAGAATCTGAATCTGCTCGTCGGCCAGTTCTGGGCCGAGATCTCCGCGAACATCTCCACCATGTAAGGACGTGTAGTTAATCTCCTCAGTCCCGTAAGTGCGTGAAATCCGCGGTCTTACTAATCTGCTTCTGCATCCAGACTCTAGTTTAGAGTTCGAGCTTCAGCCTGCGATTTTACCTTAGGTCATCTCAGGAAAGTTAGAAATTCCAGATCTGTGTTACAAATTCCCGATTTAGATACCAGCTGCTACCAGAGGCGATTGGCTTCGTAGCCTGACACATCTGATTGGCTTGAAAGCCTGACATACCAGTAGTTATAGCGGGGAATCGTGCAGTCATGTCATTAACCTTTTCTAAGCGTCTCGACACTTTAGCAGCTAGCTTTTGCACTCCTCCCGACGGCGACGGCGGATGTACGAGAATTGGATCCTCCCGACGGCGACGGCGGATGTACGAGAATTGGATTTTTGAGTGGATTGAATTCGTCGACCGTCAGTCACATAGGAGATGCGAAACGGCCAGTCGTTCCGATTGAGATAGCGGGTGGCTTGATCTCAAGCTCTAACTGTGTCGTGTCGCTTTTGCTCATACCCTTTTCCTTCGTCCTTCTTAGGAATGTCTAGCGGGATTGACTTCGTAGATTGACTAGAAGAGTTTTTAAGTTACAGATCGTGGGTATGGCTACTCACGCATCTTATTCCACGTCTAAGCTTCACGTCCTGCCTTTCAGCAGTGTAGCTAATGCGTTACTTGCTCTTATCCATTGTCGTTGTATATCAAGGGCTTTTTTTCCCATGCTTCATTCGGTTTACATTTGAAAGTCGTCTAAGACTGCCTGTTACGTCATCGTCCCATTTCCTTCTCTCTGTTTGAATCCCTTCAGTGAGAGCTTGTATGAGGATGAGACGTTCGACCATCGCGAGCTGGCAGCGCTTCTGGCCTCCAAGGTATTCATCGTCCGGTATTCCTAGGGTGTTTTTTCCAGGTCTTTTCCAGGTGTTCGTCAGGTGTTTTTCAGGTGTTCCTCAGGCTCATGAGGTGTTCGTCAGGTGTTTTTCAGGTGTTCCTCAGGCTCATGAGGGAATCGTCAGGTGTTTTTCAGGTGTTCCTCAGGCCCATCAGGTGTTCGTCAAAGAGGTGCTTCTTCTGTGGGCCTGTGTGGTTAAGGCTGTTTGGATAAACTTCGACCTTCGGTCCATGTGTGCACCCGTGCAGATGTTCTACTATCTGGGCGAGCTCACCGACTCTGAAGTGAAGTGCTCCCTCGGTGTGCACAACGCTGTGTGAACTAACCAACTTCAACTCTGCTGTTTCCTGTCCGTCCGTGCATGCACTCGTGCAGGTGTTTTACTATCTGGGCGAGCTCACCGACTCACTCACTTACGCCCTTGGCGCGGGGTCGCTGTTTGACGTCTCGGAGGACTCGGAATACGTGCAGACGCTCATTGGTGCGTGCATGGGTGTGCTGTGTTTGTTATGCGGATGGATGATGCATGGGTGCATGGGTGCAAGGAGGCATGGTTGAGTGAAGGGGTTCACCGACTGGCTCACGTACGCCCTTGGCGCGGGGTCCCTGTTTGACGTCTCGGAGGACTCGGAATACGTGCAGACGCTCATTGGTGCGTGTATGGGTGTATGGGTGCATAGGTGGGCTTGCTGACGAGATGCATGGGTGCATAGGTGGGCTTGCTGACGAGATGCATGGGTGCATAGGTGGGCTTGCTGACGAGATGCATGGGTGCATAGGTGGGCTTGCTGACGAGATGCATGGGTGCATAGGTGGGCTTGCTGACGAGATGCATGGGTGCATAGGTGGGCTTGCTGACGAGATGCATGGGTGCATAGGTGGGCTTGCTGACGAGATGCATGGGTGCATAGGTGGGCTTGCTGACGAGATGCATGGGTGCATAGGTGGGCTTGCTGACGAGATGCATGGGTGCATAGGTGGGCTTGCTGACGAGATGCATGGGTGCATAGGTGGGCTTGCTGACGAGATGCATGGGTGCATAGGTGGGCTTGCTGACGAGATGCATGGGTGCATAGGTGGGCTTGCTGACGAGATGCATGGGTGCATAGGTGGGCTTGCTGACGAGATGCATGGGTGCATAGGTGGGCTTGCTGACGAGATGCATGGGTGCATGGATGCTCCCATGACCCCGTGTTCATCAATCTCCTGTCTCGATGCGCTGTTAGCCACCTCCCCGTCTCATTGCCCCACCCCATGCACCACTCCCTCCCCTGCAGCCAAGTGCATTGACGAGTACATGGATCTCAGTGTCAAGCGTGCCGACTCCCACGACCCCGACGCCGACTATCCTCTTGACCCGCGCCTCGTGGCCATTGTGGAGCGGATGCTGGACAAGTGAGTAGTGCTGTTGCTGGGATGATGTGCATGCATGTGAAAGAGGATGGCTGGCCTGATGTGTGTGACCGTGATCACTCCTCTTGATCCATCCACGCGTCATGGTCATTGTCTTTCCCCCCATTCACACGTACCCCCGTTTCTCGTCCGTCCCAGCTGCATTGAGGAGCGTCAGTTCCAGCAGGCCATTGGAGTGGCGCTGGAGTGCCGCCGCCTTGACAAGCTAATGGGTGCACGTGCACTGTCGTATCCCCCTCCCCGCCTGCTCCCCTTCTTTCCTTTCCAGCTGCATTGAGGAGCGTCAGTTCCAGCAGGCCATCGGAGTGGCACTGGAGTGCCGCCGACTTGACAAGCTCGAGGCTGCCGTTGCCAGGAGTGGCAACTCGCGCTCGCTGCTCGCCTACTGCCTGCAGGTGGGTTGACTTCCGTTGACTTCCGTTGACTTTTCTGCTGGCTGGAATGCCGCCGCCTTGAAAAGCTGGAGGCTGCCGTTGCCAGGAGTGGCAACTCGCGCTCCCTGCTCGCTTATTGTCTTCAGGTAGGCTGATTTCACCCATCCACGTTCTCAAACCTGCACCTGCTGCTCAGCGTCCACGGCACCTGCCACTCACCGTATTCACATGCGCTTCTTCTCAAGTTTCACCCCCCGTTTGCTGCTGTTTTTCCTGCCTGCCTTGCTGGTGCTACCTTCCCGTGCAGGTCTCTCACTCTCTTGTCAACCGCCGACAATTCCGGCAGCAGGTACTGCACCCGTCCCTCTCCTTCTTGTGCTCTCCCTCACCCTCTCTCCACCCTGCCACCCGTACACACTCTCTGTTGCCGTTTTGTTTTACCAGGAGGGTGAGCACCTGAGGATTCTGTTGCACCAGAAGGTTGAGTTCTCATACCACCACAGACCAGAGCAAAGTCCAGTTTTGAGGCGCCTCAAAACTAGACTCATACCACCACCACAGACCAGAGCAAAGTTGTGTTCTGGGACCTCTCAAACCTCTGAAACATTATATCTGTGTTCAGACTACGGCACAGCATTAACCAGATGCTCATTTTCCTCAGCAGCTCGTTTTTCCTTCCACCTTGCCCTTCCACCTTGCCCTTCCACCTTGCCCTTCCACCTTGCCCTTCCACCTTGCCCTTCCACCTTGCCCTTCCCCTTGCCCTTGTCCTTGCCCTTCTCCTTGCCCTTCCCCGTTCCCTCTCCTTCCCTCTCCTTCCCTCTCCTTTCCTCTCCTTCCCTCTCCTTCCCTCTCCTTCCCTCTCCTTCCCTCTCCTTCCCTATCCCTGCTCCAGTGCTGTAAACCCTAAACAATCCACGCCATGCCAACCCCTCCAGGTGCTGTCCACATTGGTGAGGCTCTACCAGCAGGCCGAGACCCCCGGCTACGGCAGCATCTGCCAGATGCTCATGTTCCTCAGCGACTCCCCCTGTCCTTCCTCCTTGCTCCTCTCCTTCCGCTGCTACATGGCTGTAAACCCTGAACTCGCAGGTTCTATCGACGCTGGTTAGGCTGTACCAGCAGGCAGAGACCCCCGACTACAGCAGCATCTGCCAGATGCTCATGTTCCTCAGCGACGCAGCAGGGGTGGCGGCCACACTGGACCGACTCATCAAGGGGCAACACGAGTCTGACGCTTTACTAGCCTACCAAGTCGCCTTTGACCTGTTTGAGAACGAGTTTCAGCAGTTCCTGCTGTCCGTGAGGGATGCTCTGCCTGATCCGCCTCCCCCGCTTGCGCCTGCCCCGGCTGTCCCGGCTTCTGCTGATGCTGATGCCGCTGCTGCTGCTGCTGCTGCTGCTGCTGCTGCTGCTGCTGCTGCTGCTGCTGCTGCTGCTGCTGCTGCTCCGGAGGCGGATGGTGGTGCTGCGGCTGCTCCTGCAGCAGCTGATTCTGAGGCAGCGGCGGCTGGTGGTGATGCTGCAGCAGGTGCAGCAGCAGCAGAGGGAGGCAATGCTGCTGATGCTTCTGATGCGGCTGCAGCAATGGAGACTGAGGAAGGGAAGGAGGGCGAAGGGGCAGCTAAGGCAGATGGGGGAGAGGCGACAGGTGCGGCTACAGCAGCCGCTGAGGATGGGGCAGCCAAGCCTGCCGCCGAGGCTGACGGGACAAGCACCATGGACACCACCGAGGCAGCTGGTTCCGGTTCGGCCGAAGCTGGAGGTCCGGGGGAGGGCGAGGCGGCTGCCGAGGCTGCGCCAAGCGAGGAGGTGGTGTATGCGGAGCGATTGGCGAAGCTGAAGGGGATTCTGACAGGGGAGACTCCGATCGGCCTCACCCTGCAGTTCCTGTACAGCCACAACAAGTGAGTGCTTGTTATTCAATTAGTAGATGGTGGTAATGCTGTTTAGGCCTGGTGCCAGCATCACACCAGTTGGCCTCACCCTGCAGTTCCTCTACAGCCACAACAAGTGAGTGCTTGTTATTCAATTAGTAGATGGTGGTAATGCTGTTTAGGCCTGGTGCCAGCATCACACCAGTTGGCCTCACCCTGCAGTTCCTCTACAGCCACAACAAGTGAGTGCTTGTTATTCAATTAGTAGATGGTGGTAATGCTGTTTAGGCCTGGTGCCAGCATCACACCAGTTGGCCTCACCCTGCAGTTCCTCTACAGCCACAACAAGTGAGTGCTGGCTTTGGGGTTGGTGTTTAGGGGTTGAGGGTGTGTCAGTTTCAGTGTGTTGGCGTCAGTGTATGTGAAGCGAATGGCGAAGCTGAAGGGGATTCTGTCGGGGGAGACGCCGATTGGTCTCACTCTGCAGTTCCTGTACAGCCATAACAAGTGGGTGCAGGTTTTAGGTTGTAGGGTATGTTATAGCGAGAGTCCTCAAAGGGATAAAGCAGTTCCAGAGCCCCACTGTACCTGGTCTAATCCGTCCCTATTTTACTCCCTTAAAGCCCCTCCTTTTCCTCCTCTGTTTCCCATGCCCTCCTGTTCCACGTCTTACCTCACAGGGCAGACCTGGGAGTGCTGAAGGCGATCAAGCAGGTGGTGGAGACGAGGAACAGCGTGGGCCACAGAGCCACCACCATAGCCCTCCCCACCTTCCCTCTCCTCCTCTCCACCCCGTCCTGTTTAAACCCCATGTCTTCCCATCCCTGTTCCACGTTTTACTTCACAGGGCGGACCTGGGAGTGCTGAAGGCGATCAAGCAGGTGGTGGAGACGCGCAACAGCGTGTGCCACAGTGCTACTATTGTGGCCAACGCATTCATGCATGCGGGCACGACTGTTGACACCTTCCTCAGAGACAACCTGGTGAGTGCGCTGAAAGGGATCAAGCAGGTGGTGGAGACACGCAACAGCGTGTGCCACAGCGCCACTATTGTGGCCAACGCGTTCATGCATGCGGGCACGACAGTCGACACCTTCCTGAGGGACAACCTGGTCGGTGCGCCCATGCATGCTGTCATGTGTGCACTGATGCATGCTGTCATGTGTGCACTGATGCATGCTGTCATGTGTGCACTGATGCATGCTGTCATGTGTGCACTGATGCATGCCTCGCTACTATTGTGGCCAACGCATTCATGCATGCGGGCACGACAGTCGACAACTTCCTGAGGGACAACCTGGTGAGTGCGCTCAGTCTTGCATGCTATCATAGAGCCATCTGCAGCAGGGGGGGTTCCTCATGGTGCTGTGCCTCCCTCTCCTTATTTCCCACACGATCATGCATGCGGGCACCACAGTTGACACCTTCCTCAGAGACAACCTGGTGAGGGCGGTCAGTCAGTCATGTACTCATGCAAGTGCTCACGCATGCACTCATGTAGGTGCTCATGCTTTGCACTTGTTCATGCATGCGGGCGCTGACAGTCGACACCTTCCTCAGAGGGACAACCTGGTGAGGACACTCGTACATGCGCTTATGATCAATAGTAGGGGCCACCTGCAGCAGGGGCGTTTCCTCGTGGCTGTCACCTACCCCGAACCCCCACTGCAGGATTGGCTGAGCCGAGCGACCAACTGGGCGAAATTTAGTGCCACAGCCGGCCTGGGAGTGATCCACACGGGGCACCTGCAGCTGGGGCGCTCCCTCATGGCTCCCACGTGTGAACTCCCTACCCCATGCCCCCATTGCAGGACTGGCTGAGCCGAGCGACCAACTGGGCGAAATTCAGTGCCACAGCCGGCCTGGGGGTGATACACAGGGGGCACCTGCAGCAGGGGCGCTCGCTCATGGCTCCTTACCTGCCCCACGGGGCTGGGGGCGGCGCAGGGGCAGCAGGGGGAGCAGGGGGGCTGAGTGGGAGTGCGTTTTCGGAGGGCGGGGCGCTGTATGCTCTGGGGCTCATTCATGCGAACCACGGGGAGAGCATCAAGGGCTTCCTGCTCGAGAGCCTTCGCAACACCAGCAACGAGGTGTGCGCAGTGGCAGGGAAAAATGGTGTAGGGTTAGTGGAATGTGGGGTAGGAGGAGCATCAAGGGCTTCCTGCTCGAGAGCCTTCGCAACACCAGCAACAAGGTGTGCGCAGTGGCAGGGAAAAATGGTGTAGGGTTAGTGGAATGTGGGGTAGGAGGAGCATCAAGGGCTTCCTGCTCGAGAGCCTTCGCAACACCAGCAACGAGGTGTGCGCAGTGGCAGGGAAAAATGGTGTAGGGTTAGTGGAATGTGGGGTAGGAGGAGCATCAAGGGCTTCCTGCTCGAGAGCCTTTGCAACAAGGTGTGCGCAGTGGCAGTGACAGGGACTAATGGTTCAGGGTTGAATTGACATGAGGTGAGTGCAGCAAGTCTGCTGCAGCATTTCCAAACGGCCAACTTAACTTTTGAAACTTCAGCCCTTCAACTGCAAACGTCGAACTACATAAAACTCCAAACCTTAATCTTCTAAACCCGAAACCCCTGAGCAGACGATCCAGCACGGGGCGTGCCTGGGAGTGGGGCTGGCGGGCATGGGCACGGGCGACGAGGAGGTGTATGAGGACGTGAAGAGGGTGCTCTACACTGACAGTGCTGTAGTGGCCTTAGTGTTCCCAACCCCCAATCCTTAAACCCTGAACCCCGCAGACAATCCAGCACGGGGCGTGCCTGGGAGTGGGGCTAGCGGGCATGGGCACGGGCGACGAGGAGGTGTATGAGGACGTGAAGAGCGTTCTCTACACTGACAGCGCCGTGGCGGGGGAGGCGGCGGGGATCGCGATGGGGCTGCTGCTGGTTGGGTCGGCGAGCGAGCGGGCGGCGGAGATGCTGGCTTATGCCCATGACACACAGCATGAGAAGATCATCAGGTGGGGGGGTGGTTGTGAGGTCACATGTACAATGATACTCGCACACATGTATGAGATTCTGGCGTGTGCCCATGACACGCAGCATGAGAAGATCATCAGATAAGAGGGAAGGGTAGCAAGAGGGTATCTCCTACATCTACACACACACACAGACCCACATACGTTACTCTTGCATCTAGTAGCAAAGGAGATGCTGGCTTATGGCCATGACAAGCACCATGAGAAGATGATCAGGTGAGGAAATGGTGATGAGGTTGCTCATCACACTGGTGATGAGTACCATGAGTATAATGGTACTCACACACACACACACACACACACACACACACACACACACACACACACACCAGTGTGCTCATGACACACGTATTGGCAGGAGGAGGAAGAAGCCGTGAGGTGTGCTGTATAGTTGCTTATACAGCAATCACAACTCCGTCTTTCCACCCCCAATTCATTCCCTCCCCAAACCCTTTCCTCCCCCTCCAGAGGGCTGGTCATGGGGATTTCTCTGGTGGTGTACGGGCGGGAGGAAGAGGCCAACGACATCCTCATCCAGCAAATGAGAACTCCCTCTTATCCCCCCCCACACTCATGCACCGCTCTCAACCACTCAATCCCTTCCTTCCGCTCCAGAGGGCTGGCCGTGGGGATTTCTCTGGTGGTGTACGGGCGGGAGGGGTAGGCCGACATTCTGATCCAGCAAATAACAACTCCCACTCACCACCACCGCCCACTCAATCCCTTTCCAGAGGGCTGGCCGTGGGGATTTCGCTGGTGGTGTATGGGCGGGAGGAAGAGGCCGATATTCTCATCCAGCAAATGACGACGGACGCCGACCCGATCCTGCGCTACGGCGGCATGTACGCCATCGCCATGGCTTACCGTGGCACCGCCAACAACGGCGCCATTCGGCAGCTTCTGCACTTTGCCGTCAGTGACGTCAGCGATGACGTCAGGCGCGCTGCCGTGCTGTGCCTGGGCTTCGTGCTCTGTGCGGAGCCGGATCAGGTGAGAGAGAAGCAGTGCGTGAAGCGCGCTATATTCTGTCCCTCCCACTCTCTCTGCTATGCTGTGCTGTGCCTGGGCTTTGTGCTCTGTGCGGAGCCGGATCAGGTGAGGTTCCCAGGGAGTATGTTTACTGCTGTCTCTACTCAGTACTCTCTAATCCCTACTCTCTGCTGTCTGTCGCCGTGCTGTGCCTGGGCTTCGTGCTCTGTGCGAGCCGGATCAGGTGAGGGAGAAAGGGAATATGCTCTATTCTGTCTTTTCTCATACTTCTCTACCCTCTACTCTCTGCTCTTATGCTGCTGAGATGTACACGCTGCTGAGCTGTACACGCCGCTGAGCTTTACGCGGCGCTGAGCTGTACACGCCGCTGAGCTGTACACGCCGCTAAGCTGTACACGTTGCTGAGCTGTACGCAGCGCTGTTCATTGTGCGGAGCCCGATCACGTGAGGAGGAGAACAGGAGTCTGCCTTATCTTGTCACGGTGTTCTGGCTGTGCTCTGTGCTGTGTACTATCTCTCACATCGCATCGTGTGTGCCAGAATGGCGCGTGGTACCGCACTCCACCTGCTGGGATCAATCCCTCCTTCCTTTTGACCCTTGTACCACTCTCAACCCTCTCTCTCCCTTTGCACCGCCCTCCACCGCTCTCCCTCCCTTCCCTTGCATTTTCTCTCAGCAGGTTCCCCGCATAGTGTCTCTACTCGCCGAGTCATTCAACCCGCACGTGCGCTACGGGACAGCCATGGCAGTCGGCATTGCCTGTGCCGCAGCGAAGCGCCCTCGACCTGCTGGAACTGCTCACATCGGACGGGGTGGACTTTTGACCCTTGTTGTACCATTTTCAACCCCTCTCTCTCCCCGTGTACTGCCCGCCACCACTTGCTTTGCAGGTCCCTCGCATAGTGTCTCTCCTAGCCGAGTCCTTCAACCCGCACGTGCGATATGGGGCAGCCATGGCAGTCGGCATCGCATGCGCCGGCACGACCCAGCGAAGCGCCCTCGACCTGCTGGAGCCACTCCCTCACCCCTTTTAACCCTTGTTGTACTGCTTTGAACCCCTCTATCTCCCTGTGCACCACCCTCAACCACTTGCCTCGCAGGTCCCTCGCATGGTCTTCTTGCTCGCTGAGTCCTTCAACCCCCACGTGCGTAACGGGGCAGCCATGGCTGTCGGCATTCCAATTGCCAGCACGGTTCAGAGGAACGCTCTCGACCTGCTGGAGCCACACTTCCTCACCGTTTTGAACCGTTGTTGTACCACTTTCAACCCCTCTCTCTCCCTTTTCACCGCCCTCCACCACTTGCCGCGCAGGTTCCCCGCATGGTGTCTCTCCTAGCCGAATCATTCAACCCCCACGTGCGCTATGGGGCAGCCATGGCGGTCGGCATCGCCTGTGCCGGCACGGCGCAGCGGAGCGCCGTCGACCTGCTGGAGCCGCTCACGTCGGACGGGGTGGACTTTGTGAGGCAGGGCGCCTTAATTGCCACAGCCATGGTGCTCATGCAGTGCTCGCAGGAGAGGGAGCCGCGCGTGGTGACCTTCAGGTGAATACCAGGCTCTAGATGTATGCACGCAGTGGGTGTGCAGGCATGGCGCGCTCATGGTCACGGCCATGGTGCTCATGCAGTGCTCGCAGGAGAGGGAGCCAAGGGTGGTGGCCTTCAGGTGAGTACTCTATCTGAGTCTGAATGCATCTTTCATATAGGGCATGCTGTGCGGCAGGGCGCCTTAATTGCCACGGCCATGGTGCTCATGCAGTGCTCCCAGGAGAGGGAGCCACGGGTGGTGACCTTCAGGTGCGCTCATGGCCACGGGCATGGTGCTCATCCAGTGCTTGCTCGCAGGAGAGAGATCCTCGTGTGTTTACATTCAGGTAAGGTGAGTGCTGGCGTGCATCTGGATGGGTTTCAAGAATCAGTTATCTTCTGCGTCAGCTGGAGAAGGCCTTTTGCATTCACGACAAGCACAAGGACACCATGTGCAAGATGGGCGCCTTTTTAAAGAGGAGGGTGATCCGGTCTTGTCTCTTCGCCCGAGTCACTGTATGTCCCTCTCTCCTACCTCCTCCTCATCTTACCAGGCGCCAGCTGGAGAAGGCCATTCAGGACAAGCACGAGGACACCATGTGCAAGATGGGCGCCATTCTCGCTTCCGGAATCCTCGACGCAGGCGGCCGCAACGTCACCATCTCCCTCCGCTCCCGCTCCGGCTACGACCGCGTAACCGCCGTCATCGGCATGGCACTATTCACCCAGTACTGGTACTGGTTCCCGCTGCTGCACTTCCTCTCTCTCTCCTTCTCCACTACAGCCCTCGTCGGGCTTCAAGGGGATCTTAAGGCGCCGAAATTCGACTTTGTTTCGGAGTGCCGCCCGGGGCTGTTTGCGTACCCGCCGCCTGCGGTGGTGGCGAGTAGCAGCGCTGCTGTGAAGGCGCCGGTTGCGGTGCTGTCGACGGCTGCTAGGGCGAAGGGGAGGGCGAAGGAGAAGGAGGAGAAGAAGGAGAAGGAGGAGAAGGAGGAGGAGAAGAAGGATGGGGGAGAGGGGAAGGGTGGGGAGGGTGGGGTTGCAGCAGCGATGGATGGAGTAAAAGGGGGCGAGGAGGAGGGAGGGAAGAAGGGAGAGGAGAAGAAGGCAGGAGATGCTATGGATGTAAGTGCTGGTCTGCCCTGCCCCTCTCATTTCCTCTAGACCCAACAAAAATAATATGCTGAAGTCTTTTCATTGCACACCTCACAACTTCCCCTTGCCTCCCTCCCTCCTCGCCTCCCCCGCTTGCCCCTCGTCTCCCAGACAATGTCATTCTCTCCCCCTTGCTCCAATGAAATTTCTTCTGATAACTATAAAGAATGATTCCAGTATTGCCCATCCCTCCCAGACCACTCTATTTCTCGCTCCCCTTGCTCTCTCAAATTTCACCTCAACCTCCTGACTCCTATTCTTCTAAATCAAAGTTTTCTTTTTTCCCAAAGTCTTGCATGCGCACCTCTTTCACAGAGTGGTTTCCACCACTCTCTGCTTCTCTTTCCCGCCCTTTCTCCCACCTCTGTCTCACCCACTCTCCCGTCCTCCCTCCGCTTTCTCGTCCGTGAAACTCCTCCAACTTCCACTTTCCATCCTCCATGCTCCGTTTTCCCTTCCTTGGTGCAGGTTGAGGGCTCTGATGCCACTGCTGGTGTGGCTGCTGAGGCCAAAAAGCCGGCTGAACCAACGTCTGAAATTCTCCACAATCCTGCCCGAGTGCTGCCCGCCCAAGAAAAATACATCAAGTTCCCAGACACCTGCCGCTATGCACCAATCAGGAAGCCGACGTCAGGCTTTTTGCTCCTCAAGGATCGCCAGCTCGGGCAGCCTGAAGAATTCGCGCTCACCGACGGGCCGAATGCTGCTGCGGCCGGAAATTCCGGTGCTGCTCGGACTGCCGCTGCTGCTGCCCCGGCTGCTGCTGCTGCTCCTGTGGGAGTTTTCAGGAGGAGTGGTGGGGGAGGAGTGGGGGGGGGAGGGGGAGAGGGGGGGGTGCTCCCCCTCCCCCACCACCCCCTGCTGATGAAGATGACGATGAGCCTGCTCCTCCTGAGGCCTTTGATTTCCGTTAAGTCTGGCCTTTCATTTGAGTCGACTCAGAATTCTCCTCACCACCCCCTTCTGATGATGACGAGGACGAGGATGTCGAGCCTGCTCCTCCATCTTGCATTGGCTTGGCATGGTTCGGCATAAGTTCACCCCACCTCCGCATGCTGATGGTGATGACGAGCCTGCCCCTCTGGAGGCCTTTAATTACTCTTAATTCTGGGTTGTGTGTTTGCTGCCCCGTTATATACGATGTTGTGGGGTAGGGTCACCTGCCTGAGTACCTCTAGATCTTGCAAAAGGATTATCTGTTTGGTGTGACTGAGTTGTTGAATGATGATAAACACGAGCACAACAGAACGGATTGCTAGATGATCAACGGAGCATGCAGTATCAAATAATTTTAGACTTCAAAACACATTTTCAAGTGTATCTAGCTACCAAGGTGCACTCGATTTTCACTCTGGTTGTACATACTTCCAGATGGCTTTGGGCCTACCTCTTGCGTTTTTTTTTAGTAAACATTCGCCTGCTCGATTAAAAAGGATTTGTGAACAACCAAATTGGATATATGAATGCTGGGCATCGAGTTGGATGGCTGGCAGGGTTTGATGCCCACCGGCACATGGGGTTACCAGCCAGAAATAGGCAGGTTCAACCACTTATTTGTCACTTTTCCGAATGTGACTGAGCCGTAAGGTATTCAATACGGGCCGTTGCCCCTACCCAAATAGAAAATGATGACCTTGAAAATGTTGCACATAAATTTGCTGTGCAAGGTTGAGCATCGTTTGTAGTGCTCAGTACAATTGATGCTCACCCTTATCGCGAACGTTTTTGCCCGTGAGTGACTAAATTGATCATTGTTCTAGGTTCAAAGTATACCAAGTTGCGGAAGCCGCCATATACAGCTCATAAACAACAAGGGTTGCCCGTCGCTTACGTTATCACATTAGTTATCTCATTTTCCAAAAGTATACTGTACTTCACACGTTTGTTTTCCATGAGAAATTCACACACACTTCGCTTCGTAGCAAACAGTTCGCACATGGCGAATCTGAAGCTAGCTGCGAATCGTCAAAGTTTGAGCTTTGCTAACACGTCGTGTGCTCAGTATACGCGGTACTTACTGATTGGCTGATATATAATGATCCTCGGGATTGTGCCTACTGTGTAGATGATATATTGCGTTAGTGGTTGGTTAGCTACTGCACAAATGTGACTACACTAGAAAGTACACCCTACGATACAAGTCGTGAATTCTTCCGCCCACACTGACCAAAAGGCTTAGTAATTGGAGGCTAGTGCGAGTTTTTTACAACTTTGCCCCCACGACTAAGGTCTGTTGACTGCGGTTGCGACGCGCTTTCTATGGAAGTTTCCTTTTCCCCACAGATTTTATTTCCTTTGTTCCTCAGCAGATGGGCATTGGACACTGGATCCGACCGACGTCATGTGCGGTTCACAGCTGCCCCATGTGATCTCTGCAACTTCTGGGCAGGATGCACGTTTTCGCGTCTCCTATCCATCAAGTAAAATTGACCTAGAACTGCCCAAACGCATCCACTTTCTGGCCAGGCTGCCCAACAGCTAGCAAGGAAGGACTTGCTTCTTCAATCGTGAAGTGTAACAGTGAACGTGTGCACTACAGTCAACGATATCCCCAAAGGTAAGGATTCTGGGCTTCTGCCAGCCCACACTCGTGAATGCCTTATCCCCCGCTTCCCCCTGACTCCATCACCCCTCCCCTCCCCTCCCCTCCATCCGCCCCACACCCCAACCTCTCCCCCCTTCTTCCCCCACCCTTCCCCTGCTTCTCGTCTAGTTTCGCCACCTTTCGCCATGTAATTCGTGCACGACTGGTGATCTCGCCTTGCATATGCGCTTCGCCCGTCCAGCTGATTTCCTCTCTGGCGGTCCGCAGCGCAAGCTGGTTCACATCTGATCTTCCACAATTTCGAATCGCACTAACTCACACACCACCACCTCTCCTAGCAACTCCAGCTTACCTCCAGTTAGCGTCCACGCAGACAGCAACACGAACTCGTCCTTTCATACAAATGCCAGTTCCTAGCGCAATGAGGTACGCTTCATCGCTTCTGTCTCATCTCGCAACGTTGTCTCTAATAGTAGCTGTTCTCCCTATCACCCCGACTGCCAGTTACGAAGCACGACAACTTCATGGCAGCAATAGCTGCGTAGCAGCTCATCCCCTACTTCTTACTCTCGTTGAGCGTTTCTCTCCACGGAAATCAACGCCTTGCTGTCGCATTATTCGCGCTGCCGAACCTCTTCAAGCATATCCAAGTTCGCCGAACAAAAATTCGAGAGGACAACTGCTTGGCTGCATTTTGCACTCTCGAATCTCGACCTCCCTACACTCACATTGCTCGCCATTTTTCAACAAGTTGTTACGAGCTCCGCCAGCGTTCCACCTGTTCCGAGGTCCAAGAAAGTTGTACAGCCGCACGCGTGGAGCTCGTGAGCTGTCACCCTCCGCATTCTCCACTCCGCTAATCTTCGCGTATAAGGCTCGCGACGACAAAGGACACTCGAGTTGACCGGTAGCGATTAGCGACGTCGCAGATCGCGACGATAAAGGAGCTGGAGCAAGCCTGTCTCTGAGACGAAATTTTCGTCTTTTTCTCTCGATTTCCGGCGGTTATTGCGCTTGTGTCTGAGAAACTCCACTATTCTTCGAACTTAAACGCCGATATTGTCTCCTATTCAACCCAGCCGATCGCGCGTGAGCGAGTTCGTTTAGCAACAACACGAGCGACAATCGCCGACGTTTTCTCGCCTATCACAATCCCTAACGAAGCCCATTTTTTCCAAGCAACAACGACAGCAGAAACAGCAGCAGCAGCAGCAGCAGCAGCAGCGGGCGTGAGTTACGGGAGTTCGACCAGCAACGCGGCGAGCAGCGGCGCGAGCAGCGATCATAGAAGCAGATTATAGAGGCAAGCCGCAGACGTGACGGGCTCCGAGATCCTAACGGCGCTAATCGACGCGAGATACAATCATAGTAGCGCGATCGGCGGAGCACCACAATCTACACCGACTGCCGTCCACCATGGATTTTCCATCCGTCAATACTTCACAAGAATCTTTGTTCACTCAACTTGCGGAAAACGCGCCCCCGTCCGCCGCAATGCCGCGCCACGTGGTCGCGCCGATGGGCGCATCTTCCCGCGGCGGCGACCGCCGGAGTCGAAGCCCGAGCGCGCATAGTAGCGCTCAGAGCGCTCCCGCAGGATCTCCTCTGCTCGGTGAAAGCGGGTGGCGGAAAGACGAGCCTGCGGACGACTCTCCGCGCGCGGATTTTGTTGACGGCGAATTCGTGGAGCGGCAGGTTCCGCCAGAGGAGGCGGTGCTGGAAGAGATGCTTGGCGCGCCTGGTGTGGGAGGCGGCGGGCGGAACGGCGGAACTCCGGCGGAGACGCTTGCGCGGATCACGGCGCGGTTCGGGGCGAGGGACCTTGCGACGGAAGCGCCGCGGCTGTTACAATCAACAATTGCTCGCGGAGAAGAAATCGCGACTGCAGCAGCCGCGGAAGAGGCGGAGGTGCGCGGAGAGTTCGTCGCGGAGGGCGCGGAGGGCGCTGTGGGCGCAGAGGGAGCAGAAAGCGGAATGTACGAGGGCCTACTGGAAGCGGTGATCCGCGCGCGACCGGCGCGCGAAACAGCGGGAGCGCATGAAGGAGGCGGAAGCGGCGGTATCACTACGAGCCGCGGAGCGGCGGAGAGGGGAGGGATGATGCTGGCGGAAATTGCGCCGTGGGGGAAGGCCAAGATGGCGGAAGCATCATTAGCGGAGCTTGAGGCGTCAATATCTGCGCTACAGGCATCCCTGCTACCGCAACAGCAACACCAGCCCCAGGCGCGGCACGAGCAGGAGGACGAGGCGACGGCGAGCGGAAAAGGGATCTCCGCGCAATCGCACAACGAGGGGAGCGAAAGTACGAAACCGTTCGGCCAAACCCTAAACTCGGAGAGCAAAAGCACGATTGTGGGCGGAGCCAATTTGCAGAATGACGATTGTCGGCAATATCTAGGTTTCAATTCTCATTCGCAATCGATAGGCCAACATTTCAAGTCCGCCGGCAAGTCTTATGAGCCCCCTTCCGGCGCTGCTGCATGGGCGCACGAGCATTGCGCCGCTTTTGTGGCTGACGAAGCCGCCGCCGCAGTCGGTGACAATGCGCGCGGAGATGTGGCGGAATCGGCGGAAGCCGCGCGGCCCCTGCGGCTGCTCTCCGCGGTGGACCCGAATCAAGAGGCAATGGTCGCGCTCGCCGCTTCCGCGTCCCCCCCAGGCGCGCCCCTCGCCATTCCGCTGCTGCAGCCCAGTCTCTTCTCTGCGAAACGCGCTCCCTCGCGGGGCAACTCCTTCAGCGCGAGCCTCGGCGCCACCAACGCGCGGCACGCGGCGGCGGAAAGCGCCGCGCTGCGCGCGCCAAATGGGGGCGGCAGCGGCGTCGGCGGTTCTCCCGCGCGCGCAGGCATCGGAGGCGGCGCCGCGGTGATGACAACAACGCATGCGACTCACGGCCAGAGTTTCGGCCTTTCGCACGGCGGTGGCAGTGGCGGCGGCGGCGGCGGCGGCGGGGGCGGGGGGGCGAGCGGCGGGGGTGGCGGGGGGCATGCGATCGTCATTCCCGCGAACCTATCAACCTTCTCCTCCTCCTTCGACGCCTCCACGCTGTCCCCCTCTTCCACCGCAATTCTCGGCACTCTTCCCGCCCTCCAGCCCTCAAATTTGAACCCTGCCCGGTGCGATCCTGCGTGCTTTGCAGTGCAGCCATCAGTAGGAGCAGCAACAGCAGCAGCAGCTGTGCTGAGTTCAGAATCTGGCCTTGTGCAAGGTGCTCCTTCAGAAGGGTGCATGGTGTGTGGGTGTGGGTTGCAAGGAGGAGACGTACAGGTGGTGATGGGGGTGATAGGACGTGCCTGCTCTACCTGCCTCGCCTTCAACGAGCCTGCCTTTGCCGATTCTACCTTTGCCGAGCCTGTCTTCGCTGAGGGTGATGCCTCTGCCGAGGCTGTCTTTGCCGGGGCTATCTCTGCCGAGGCTATGGTGGGTCGAAGTCTCCGGACCTCCTTGGCAGGCTCGGCATCGAGCGAACAGGTTCAGCAAGAGTTGGGGATTCTGGGAGGGGCGATGCTGCTCCCGCCCTGGGACAAGGACTTGGAACAGCAATTGGTATTCCTGCAGCAGCAGCAACAGCAGCAGCAGCAGCAGCAGCAGCACGCACAGCAGCATCTTGAGCAGACAAGCAGCGGAGACCTTGCTGCTGCTGTTTCTGCCGCTGTTGCTACAGGCACCATTGCAAACGCCCCCAGGACTGGCAGCAACACTCTCGGCTGTGGCAGCAGTTTCAGCCGCAGCACCACCGTCAGCAGCAGCAGGAAGAGGAGAAGCGACCTTTCCCATATGCACCTGGATTCGCTTCTAGGTGCGACCTGCAACACCAGCACCACTGAGCACCGTTCTGGCTTCACTGCTGCTAGCAGCAACCTCGCTGCTGCTGCTATTCCTGTTCCCGCTGCTGTTACCGCTGCAGTGGGGGTGGAAGGAGCAGCAGGAGGAGCAGCAGGAGGAGCAGAAGGAGCAGGGGAGGGAAGTGGGCGCGACATGCAAAGCATGATCGAGGCAAGCATCCGAGCCAACGAGTTCGCTTTGGAGCGGATAGCTTGGGAGAAGAGGTACGGCGGGTGGCTCAGGCAGGGCCGAGGGAGCAGCGGCGGCAGCACTGTGTGCAGCAGCAGCGGCACTGGCAGCATATTCTGTGGGGTGGGTGCTGCGGCTGGCTCTGGGAGGCCTTTGATTGGTGCTTCTGCTGCTGCTGCTGCTGCTGCTGGCGGTTCTGCTGGTGGTGGTGCTGGTGGTAATGGCGCTGGTGCTGCTGCTGCTGCTGGTGGCGCAGGTGGTGGTGGTGGTGCTGATGCTGCTGCTGCCTCTCGTGGTGGTGCTGGCGCAGGGGGTAAGGCCCGTGGGCTGTCTGACCGGCCTGCTTGGCAGGTGAAGCGGGGAAGATGGTCACAAAGAGAGAGGTGGTCCCACCACATGCGCGTTCAGTACCAGCGAGAGCAGGAAGAGCAGCAGCAGCAGCAGCAGCAGGAGCAGAGTCGGCAGCAGCAGAAAGAGCAGGAGATGCTTTTGCGGGAGCTGCTTCAGCAGCGGCAGGAGCGACAGCAGCAGGACCAGCAGGACCAGCAGTCTTCGTTCAGCTACCTCGCGTCTCCTCTATCTGGACTAGATTCCCCATTTCTCAACACCTGGAGCTCCCGACCCCTTTTTCCTTCTTCCACCTCTGCTCCCCTCCTCTCCACCTCCCTCTCCAACCCCCTCTGCTTCGCTGAAGCTTGCAGTTCCGCACCTATGGTTCCGGCTCGGCGGTCCCGGACCTGTGGGGTTTCCCAAACCTCCGACCTTACAGAGTATGTTGCAAGCTTGAGGGCTGGGGTAGACGCGGCCGCTGCTGCCAACACTGCTGCTGCTGCCGCTGCTGTGGGTGCCACGTCTGCTGCATCAACTGAGGCGTTTGTTGGCCAAGCTGCACCGGCTGCTGCTGGATCTCTCACACCCTCTATGGCTGCACCTCTCTTCACTCCTTCAAACCCTCATCCACTCCCCAGCTCCGCTGGCTTCCGAGCCACTTCCCAGGCTGACAGAATCCTGGCAGCCGCGAATTTGGGCCTGGTAGGCTCGGGACAAACCTCGGAGTCTGCGTTGGTGCTGGTCCCAGGTCTGGCAGCCTCTAGTGGTTCACTTTCTGACTCAGGAAAGCTGTGAGGGAGTAAGAATGTGCAATAGCCGGTTTCCCACTGTCGCAAGATCACAAAAAAGGTACAGGAAGCTCGTAATACGTAGGAAATAAGATAGATTAGCATTTTTGTCATGAGTCAAGTGGGGTTTCTGTGTTGTGGGTGGTTACTTCGAAAGTAGTCCATGTGATTTCTAACAATATGTAAGAATACCAACAATATGTGTGGGTGGTTACTTTGGTGATGTGTATATGGCTTGGTTTCATTACATGTTATAACGTTATTTTTGCAGGACATTGCCAATTTGTCAGACCTGCCACTGTGATCTCTTGTGTGTTACAGTAGCAGCAGAACCGCGTGACGTGACCCTCCTCCAGCCAACAACCTCGTTGTCGGAATCAGAAAAGGACAAACACAGCTCGATGCATTTCGGGAAATTTGTGGCGGGATCCAGCGACAGGTTGTACAGATCTCTGTTGCATTTGTTGCATCAGATGCGGCGCTGTGGTTGGCTCAAGAGCAATAAGGTTGCCACAAACCGTGGGCAGTATCTCGTTTATAGCTTTCGTCAAAATTCTCGTTGTTTGGCTTTTTCACAGAAAACGCCACGTCGTCGTTTCTGTCGCAAGGAAAATCGGCAGTTGTGTATTTTTCTTCAATCTAATTGGTTTCTGTTTCAGTAGCATCTTTCGGCCATTGAATAGCTTTGCCAGCGTGGCCACACACCGTGGCAGCTGCTGTGAAGCACACAGTTGTCAATTTTGTTCCAGGGGGGAACGGAAGGACTGGCTTGTGGAGGACGTGGTGTGATTGGTAGGTTGCATGCATTTTGTTCTTTCGGGCGCCTCAAGCGGAGGCACTTCCGCCCCAACGAAGACTCGCTTCTGCCACCTGCTTGACTCTCGCTTCAGCATTCCTGAACCGGGTCAGTCCAGCGCTGGGGATCATCAAAAGCTCGGCAGAGATTTCCTAGCCTTTCTTTCCGAACCTAGTTCGAAGACAACCGCTGCAAAAGACTGCGAATGCGCCAAGAACCGACTTCCTTACCTTGTCCAATGTTAGGTTGTTTGGTTCGGTTCACCGACCTTCTCGCTCCCCTGCGCTGCCTCTCTTCGTCGCGCAGTTCCATTTCCGCTTGCCGTAAAGTACCCGCCAGCTGCAAGCAACCCTTCACTGCTGTCTCGTCCAATGCCCTTTCAGCTTCAGATCCCATTCCCGACATGCCCTCCTCCCCTCCCTCTTCCCTCACTCGCTCACTCACTCATACTGCATGCCCCCATTTCTGACAATCCCAATCAACCCCTCATTCCCTCGCTCACCAACTCTCTCATTCTGTGTGCATCCCACTCGATCCCTCATTCCCTCACTCACTCGCTGTAGGCTGTGCATCCCACACCTGATACCTGTGAATCCCTCACTGTGGGGAGGGGGGCAGTAGCCCACATGCATGTGATTCGTGAACCACACACTGGCCTTCCTCCATAGTTCCCTTGTGACGAGAGCATTGACAGTTTCATTTATTCATATGCTGTGCTTCTGCTCTGTACTTGGTGCACTTTATTCATCAGTCTTGAGGCTGTTGACTAGGGCCGACACTAAACTCTTGGCTCACCCTGCGTGTCTGCTTATCACACAAGGCTCTTCCTTGTTTCGATAGGTATACGCGGTCTGCTCTGCCCTCTCTAAATTACATCAAGAGGCCTCAGCATCGGTTACCAAAGCAGCCATTGCGAAGCAGTTGATTTGAAGCTGCAGGCACCACCAACTTGGCTTCTTCTACGATCTCCTCATCCGAGTCTCTTCCGTAATTCCATCAGCCGAGGTGACTCCTTGAGTTTCTTTCGTTATTTCTAAGCGTACCGCCGTCCAGCAGCCATGGATTACGCCACGGAGGGTCACCGCCATCCCCGGCGGTCCCTTCAGCTTGACCAACTCGAGCGTCTGTCACACAACCCGATACTACAAAGCTCGTTATACTCACCATACGCGGCGCAGATCTCCCGTCGCCGCCGCTCGCTCGACGCAACAATCCACTCCGCACACCCTCAACAGCACCAGCAGCAACAGCCGCAGCAGCAGCAGGAGTATCTGGGCCGTCCGATCTACGTGCCGTGTCGTGAGAGCAGCGTGCACGCGCATCCCGACGCGGAGATCTCCCAACACAGCTCCGAAAGCGGCGACGAGGTTTGCTCAGGACAGAGCCTCGTTGCTAAGACTACTTTTAAGAGTACACTTGGTGCTGCTACTGCTACTGCCGCTGTCACTACCGGTCTTCAACGGCCGCAAACGGCGGCCGGCATCATAAACGACCCTTTCCCGCCGGAAGCGGCGTACTTCCCAGCAAGGGACCGCGGCGCCACAGATTACATGAACGTCGACGAGCCTGCGCGCTTCGGCGGAATGGTGAATACTCCCGCCAACTTCGGCGCAGCTTCCCCTTGGATTTTTGCCGCTGCTGTTCCCGCTGCTGCCAGGGCCGACACTAAAGCGCGCACGCCGCCGGCGCCGGGCGCGGGGGGCGCGGCCAACCGGCGGCTCCGCGCAAACAGCGCGACCCTTCCAGCGGCGTTTGGAGGGGACCTGGAGGCGGCGGAGTGGGTGGATTGGTCGAACGTGGATTGCGCGTTCCAACCCGACGGGCTCATGCAGGCGCGAGCCGCCATGATCGAGCAGTGCCGGCAGAACTCGCGGCGTGCGCCTTTGGGCGCGTCGGTTCCGATGATGGCGGATTAAGAGTCTGCGGCTAGGCACAAGGCTGCGTGGGCGCACGCAAGCTCTTGGACGCTCGTGCAGGCTTGCGCAGGTCAGTGCAGGCTTGCGCAGGTCAGTGCAGGCTTGCGCAGATTCGTGCTACCGCTAGGATCGAGCAGTGTCGGCAGAACTCCTGGCGATTGTCGGTCTTACGAACGTCGATTCTGATGATGGCGTACTGGAGCTCGCGGCGCGAGAGAAGTGGGATTGACGCTCGTTTGGTAGCATTTCCAAGGGTAGTCTTGGAATCATATCCCAAAATGTCGGGAAATCATGCTACTGTATGATACCGTCGGGATATGCGTGCCGCTTAGTTGCAGCATGATACTATGTATGACTATGAGCCTGTGTGCTTCTATCATGCTCTGTGCGATTAACCAGTGTGAACCTCCTAGTAGGGTTATGAGACTTCAACCTTATCTTGCACGATCTTTAAACCTTGATTTATAAGATGGATTTCATAACTCAGATTTCTTCAGTGGCGACCCCAGTTAAAGCTCAAGGCCCAAATTGTTCAGGATTACTAAAGTTGACCCTTGGGTGGTGGGAAAGCAGAGTAGGAAAGTCGAGGTGTTTGAGGGGTGTAGGGGTTTGGTTTCGCCCAGCTTCTCGCCACACTCAAAACAAAATTCGCTGACTCAGCAAAGCCTAGGGGACGCTCAGGTTTGGTTGCGCGAGTCCCATATTGCACAAATATTACTCTTGCCAGTTTCCCGCACCACCTGTTCCATTCGCTGACTCAAATGTTCTGGCCAATCAGATGGCTTCGTACATTTCGTAACCACAATTCGCCCAGCTAAAGCTGCAAAGCAGCACTCGATCAACCTTACTAAACTTGCCTCGCGCGGCCCGCAATTTGGGCCTTGAGCTTTAACACCTTTTTGTTGTTTGAGATTACTTGAGCGTGATTCCTTAGTTCATGTCTAAATGCTGATAAAAGCTGTGCTGAAATTAATTGTTCCTGTTACTCCGTCTATACTACGTGCTTCTTAGTAGCACGCACCGCGTACACCCGCACCGCAACACCCGTGGCTCCGAGGATGCATTGATCGCGGTTTCGCAATTACACGCCAGAGAGACACGCTCATAAACACGCCGCGCAATCATATCATTTTCAGATTCCCGCGAGATGCGGGGAGTCGGAACTACTAGGGAATTCTGATTTACTCGACATTATCCGTCTCAACTCGACGACCCACGAACCCGATTTCCACAGACCGAGTCGCTGACCCTGATCCTGGCATGTCCGGACATCCGACGTAGACGGAGACGTAGACGTAAACGTTGACGGAGAGTTAGAGACGTAGATGTAGACGGGGAAGGAGTCGGAGACGTAGACAGAGCTCCTCCTCACTCTGACCCTGACGCTGACGTCTCTGCGGGTGCGCATTACTCTCGGAGACGTTTGCGGAAGCAAATCCCAACCACAAAAAAATTCGCGCGTTCCGCGCGACCCAACTCGACTATCCGTTGTGAAATTCGCGTCTGACCCGACTGCCCTCGACCTGTCATTTCGAGAAGCAACGAGGAGTGACCAGCTCTACAGAAACACCCGTTTCCGAAAATCGCGTCGCGCGTGACTAATCGCAAATAGGTTCAGTAACCATTTTAAGAATGGCTCTCAGCTCTCTTCCTCCTGTCAGAACCCTCGTTTTAACTCGCCAACTATTATGGCGCGGAGGCGCGTGGCACGCGGCTCCGTCGCCGATTAAACCTGTCCGACATGGCCGTAGAGAGCGGCACGAGTTAAGCACTCCGTTAACAGGTACGCGACGCGATATCTCGGCTTTAGGTTAGGTCGGCTTTAACAACCCGTCCCTGCGCGCGCGAGATCTCCGTGCGTTATCCCTGCATGCGCTACCCCCCCTTGCGCTACCCCCCCTTGCGCTACCCCCCCTTGCGCTACCCCCCCTTGCGCTACCCCCCCTTGCGCTACCCCCCCTTGCGCTACCCCCGCTTGCGCTACCCCCCCGTGCGTTATCTCTGCATGCAGTTACCCTCGCGGGCGCCTGCGTTACCCCACTTCAAGTTCCGCGCTTCCCCCGTCCCCTTGCGCAGTGCAGGCGCGCGCGGGGAGGCGCGAAGCTGGAATTGCTCTTGGTGGCGCGCGGGGGAAAGGTGAAGGACGGAACCCACTATTGGCGGGGGTGAGCGGGGAGGAGCAGGAGACTGCCAGCAGAGTGCTCGAGCTGGTAGGTAGAGGGGGAGGGGGAAGGGGAAACGGGAGGAAGATGAGGGAGTGAGCGGAGAGGAGCAGGAGAGGGCCCGGCGAGGGCTGGAGCTGATAGGGTGGGGCGGGGAGGGGGTTAAGGAGGGGTTTATACTTGGGAGGGTGGGGCTGGGATCAGCAGCTGGGGGGAGGCGCAAGGCTGGGATTGGCCTTGGTGGCGCACAGGGGGAAGGGCGCGGGGCGGAACCCCCTGCTGGCGGGGGTGAGTGGGGAGGAGCAGGAGACCGCGCTGGAGCTGGTAAGAGGGAGGGACGGGAAGGGAAGGGGAGCGGGGCTATGCTATTTCCAGGGCAGAGGGGATGAAGGGGAAGCCTGGGATCAGCTCACCGTGCTGAAGCTGGTAGGGTGGGGGGGGGGTGGGGGGTAGGTGGGGTGGGGCTATGCTATTCCCAGGGCAGATGTGGTGAACCGTGAAGGTGGGAGGCTGGGATTGGTGGCACACGGGGAAGGGCGAGGCTGGGATTGGCCTCTTTGCAATCCTTTTCCAAATGCCCCACCTCTTTGCAATCCTTTTCCAAATGCCCCACCTCTTTGCAATCCTTTTCCAAATGCCCCACCTCTTTGCAATCCTTTCAGCCTTTCCTCTCCCTCTTGAAAATCCTTCCCCATTCCCCAGGCCGATCGTTCACTCACCTCCTACTCAGTGCTGCACTCAGCTTTCCTCTCCCCCGCCTCTCAAGCTGCCATCATGCCCATTCTCTCTCAGACGCCTCACATGTCTGCCCTTCCTCTCTGCCGTCACTCTCCCTCCACACCCTTTCCCCATTCTTCAGGCCGATCGTTCGCTCGCCTCCTATTCAGTGCTGCATTCATCCTTCCTCTCCCCCGCCTCCCAAGCTGCCATCATGCCGATTCTATCCAACATGGCTGATGTCACTGCCATCCCCTCTGGTGGATACTTCCAGGTACGTTGATTTCAGAGCTACTGTCTGTCAGGTTTGTGGGTATCCCCCTCCTCTCCCCCTCCTCTCCTCCTCCTCTCCCCCTCCTCTCCCCCTCCTCTCCCCCTCCTCTCCCCCTCCTCTCCCCCTCCTCTCCCCCTCTTCTCCTCCTCCTCTCCCCCTCCTCTCCCCCTCCTCTCCCCCTCCTCTCCCCCTCCTCTCCCCCTCCTCTCCCCCGCCTCCCAACCCGCCATCATGCCAATCCTCTCCAACATGGCTGACGTCACTGCCATCCTCTCTCGCGATTATTTCCAGGTGTGTTACTTTCAGTCAGTTACTTTCAGTCAGTTACTTTCAGTCAGTTACATTCACCCGTCCCTCCTCTCCTTTCCACCTATGTGACATCCCTCCCCACTCCACCCTTCTTCCCTCGCATGCAACCCTTGCCAGTCGCTCTCCCCACCCCCACTTCCCCCTTCTTTCGTGTACGTCACATCCCTCCCCTCCCCGATCCTCCCCTCCCCTCCCCTCCCCTCCCCTCCCCTCGTTCCCCTCCCCTCCCCTCCCCTCCCCTCCCCTCTCCCTCCCCTCCCCTCCTCTCCCTCCCTCCTCTTCTCAAGAAACTCTTGCTCGTCTCTATCCCTCTCTCCCCACCCCCGCCTCCCTCCCTCCAACACGGCAGGCGGAGCGGTGCAGGGTGTCAGTGGGGCCTGTAGAGCTGATGGCAGCGGAGGGAGTGGGTGCAGACGCTGCTGCTGCTCCTGCTGCTGCCATGTGGGGTACCATGCACAGGCAACCAACCACGAGCAACCCTTGCTCCATTCTCTCCCCTCTGTTCCAAATTTTCCCCCACAGGCAGAGCGGTGCAGGTTGTCAGTGGGGCCTGCAGAGCTGATGGCAGCTGAAGGAGTGGGTGCAGACGCTGCTGATGATACACAAGCCGCCTGTCCCTCCTCCCTTACCCCCAACTCTTGCATGAAATACAACAGGCGGAGCGGTGCAGGGTGTCAGTGGGGCCTGCAGAGCTGATGGCGGCAGAGGGAGTGAGTGCAGATGGGGTGAATCATGGTGGGAGGGACCAGGGCCAGGCACAAGCAACCAGCCTGCCTCATTCCCTTCCCTCCCCCTCCTTCCCTCCAACACGGCAGGCAGAGCGGTGCAGGGTGTCAGTGGGGCCCACAGAGCTGATGGCGGCAGAGGGAGTGAGTGCGGTTGCTGCTGCTGACGATGGGACGGGCGATTCTATTCCAGCGCTGGCAGCTGGGTACCCAGGCGCCGTTGCAGCAGTGAGGTGATGCTTTTATATGTTCCTGAAACATGCTCTCATGTCAGCAGATGGAGTGGTTGCAGATGCCACTGCTGATGGTGGTGCCATGGGTGATGCTACACCAGTGCTGGCCGCTGGGTACCCAGGCGCCGTTGCAGCAGTGAGGTGATGCTTGCTTGTAGGTGCATAACTTATGCTCTCATAGAGCAGAGGGACTGGTGAGTGCGGGTGCTGCTTTTGCTGATGGTGTCTTTGGCCGATGTTGTACCAGCACTGGCAGCAGGGTACCCAGGAGCCGTTGCAGCAGTGAGGTGATGCTTTCATATGCGCATTGCACGAGTGAGATGCTTGGTTTTGGGTGCCTAAGACACGCACATAGCAGAAAGAGAGTGAGTGCAGACGCTGCTGCTGCTGCTGATGACATTGTATGACGGGGGGAGGATGAGGCAAGACAGCAGGGGAGTGCAGCTTCAGCCGTGCTGAAGAGGGGAAAGAGGGAGAGCCGCTTAGCGGAAGAGGGGAGAGCAGCTTCAGCCATGCACCTTCATCTCCCACCTGAAGGACCTGAAAGAGGGGGGAGGATGAGGCAAGACAGCAGGGGAGAGCTGCTCTCCTTCCGCTTAGCGGATGAGGGGAGTGCAGCTTCAGCTAAGCGAGGTGCATCTATCCTTCCGCTCCCTTTTATCCTGCTTAGCTCTCAACTTGCCACCTTTCGTCCTTATGCCCCGTTTTCCCAACAGGGTATCAGGCGCTTTCAAGCAATCATCAGTAGCACATGGTGACTTCCTGGGAGCAGTGCTTGGGACAGGGATTACAAGAGACAAAGTCGGTGATGTTATTCTTCTGGTGCGCCCACTCAATCTTCTGCTTGAGGCATACACCGCATACTTGTGCTCTTCACTCTTTCAACTCTTACTCGAGTTGTGACTCTTCACTCTTATACCACTGCTGGCAACAGGATCACAACAGACAAAGTTGCTGATATCATTCTCCTGGTCCGCCCTCACTGCCTCTTTTCAAAGAATGATGCGATGAGACGCCTCAACAATCGATTTTTGAGACGTCTCAAAAGATGAGATGAGACGCCTCAACAATCTCAAAGCACTCTTTTCCATCCACAGCACTATTCCAATATCTCTTCCTCCCTATTGGCCCCACAGGAGGGCGAGGGAGCACAGGTAATCATCTCGCCAGACCTGCAATAATTCCTTCTCTCCCCACTCTCCTTGTTACATCAACAACACTCCTCTGTGTTACTCTTTCCCTGTTCATCACATAGGAGGGCGAGGGAGCACAGGTCATAATCGCTCCAGACCTTCAGGACTTCCTGCTCTCAGCACTCACCACAGTGCACCGCGTGCCAGTGACAGTACAACCTATCGCCCTCTCCGACCTCAGTGTGTCACCTCCGAGGTAGGTCCACCCCATAGAGTGTTCCCCTCAGAGAGTGTCCTCCCAGCTATAGTCCCACCCATCACTCAGCACTCACCGCAGTGCACCGCGTGCCAGTGACAGTACAACCTATCGCCCTCTCCGACCTCAGCGTGTCCCTCCTCGGAAGCCACTTCCATCAACTCGTGTTGATCTAGGACAATGGGACAAACCCCACGGGTGAACGGAAAAAAAGGAACCTGGTTAATTCGCCCTCTCCGACCTCAGCGTGTCCCCTCCTCGGAAGCCACTTTGCTTGCACCACCCATCCTCACACATCCCGTCACCACTTTGCTTGCTTCCTCCCTCCTCACCATCCTTTCTCCCTCCAGGATCGACACGCTCCGCACAGTGGAAGCTTCCTTGCGTCTCGACGCCGTTGCCAGTGCTGCGTTCCGCCTCTCCCGCTCGAAGTTCACCGACCTCATAGCGTGAGCTTAGTCCCGCTAATAGTGCGACCTCATCTCATCTCATCTCATCTCTCAATGCTTGTGATTTGGCCACTGGTTCGCTGTTGTGTTCTCGCTCCGACGCCGTTGCCAGTGCTGCTTTGCGTTGCGCCTCTCCCGCTCAAAGCTCACCTCACCAACCTCATAGCGTGAGCTCAATTCACCTCTGGCTGCTTCGGGCTGGTCAATAGCTTCTGCCTTGCGTCTCAGTTGAGCTTTCTTGCCCTGGTGCTCTCATCAGCAACAAGCCTTCCGCGTCTCCTTCTCCAAAAAGGTTCACCAACCTCATAGCGAGAGCTCAATTCACCTCTGGCTGCTTCGGGCTGGTCAAGAGCTTCTGCCCAGCCACAAGCAGCCACTAGGGCGTCTCAGTTGAGCTTTCTTGCCTTAGTGCTCTCATCAGCGACAAGCCTTCCGCGTCTCCTGCTCCAAAAAGGTATACCCACCTCATAGCGTGAGCACGCTTCACTACTGCGTGCAATATAGTTCCCTTGCAATATAGTTCCCTTGCAATATAGTTCCCTTGCGATATAGTTCCCTTGCTATATAGTTCCCTTGCAATATAGTTCCCTTGCAATATAGTTCCCTTGCAATATAGTTCCCTTGCAATATAGTTCCCTTGCAATATAGTTCCCTTGCAATATAGTTCCCTTGCAATATGCTGAGTGTTGAACGGAGAAGTTTCTCCCCAGATAGACGAGGTGATTTTTGAGTCGACTCAAAAGTCACCTCAATATAGTTTTTTTGAGTGTTCAACGGAAGAGTGTCTCCCCAGCTAGACGTGATGCAGCGTTTTCAACTTGCCTCTATTGCGCCTCCCTTCCTGCTCCATCCCTCCTCTGTCCCCCTTGCAACATCAAACCCTGCTCTTTCAGCAAGGAGGACGTGCGGGTGGATTGGTGAGAGGCCTCTAAGTCAGGAGTGGTGCTGAAGAGTGGTTACGTGAAACTCACGCTTCCGCTCCATTCATGCCCCCCACCCTGCTCCCTCCGTGCCCTCTATCCCACTCCACTCCCTCCTTGCCTCCACAACCCACCTCTGTGACTCCAACCTTGCTTTCTCAGCAAAGGGGACGTGCGAGTGAATTGGAGGGAGGCGGCTAAATCAGGAGTGGTGCTGAAGAGTGGTGATGTGGTGTCGGTGCGGGGGAAGGGGAGATGCAAGGTGAGGAGGGGGGAATCAGATTAGGGGTTTAGAGGAAGGCATCCCATCAAAGGGGAAGAAAACGGGCCAATCCCGGAGTGTTGCTGAATAGTGGTGATCTGGTGTCAGTGAAGGGAAGGGAAGAGCAAGGCGGGTCAATTCTATTGTTTTCGAGGCACCTCACGCATAGACAGGACAGGTGGGGTTCAAGAGTGGTGATGTGGAGTCGGTGCAGGGGAAGGGAAGATGCAAGGTGAGGAGGGGGGAATCAGATTAGGGGATCAGAGGAAGGCATCCGATCAAAGGGGAAGAGAATTTTTTAGGCGCCTCAAAATCAGGGGTTTAGAGGAAGGCATCCGATCAAAGGGGAAGAAAATGGGCCAGTCCAGGAGTGGTGCTGAAGAGTGGTGATGTGGTGTCGGTGCGGGGGAAGGGGAGATGCAAGATGAGGAGGGGGGGGGGGGGGGGGGGGGGGGTACAAGGCGAGGAGTGGGGAAGATGGAGGGTGAGGGGAGTCAACCAAGTCAGGAGTGTTGCTGAAGAGTGGTGATGTGGTGTCGGTGTGTGGGAAGGGAAGATGCAAGGCGCGTCTATTGCTTCTGAGACACCTCACGCATAGACAGAACAGGTGGGGTTGAAGAGTGGTAATGTGGCATCGGTGCGGGGTTGAGAGGGAGGCATGGAGAGGGGACGGAGAAGTGTGGGGGTGCTGGTAATTTAGGGGCTGGTGTGAAAGAGTGGAGATGTGGTGTCGGTTTGGGGGGCAGGGGAGATCCCCTCTCGGTTTGAATGGCAGGCCGTCAAGAGTGAAGGGGACTAGTTTTGAGGCGCCTCAACTTTTGAGGCGCAACTTTTGAGGCGCAACTTTTGAGGCGCAACTTTTGAGGCGCAACTTTTGAGGCGCAACTTTTGAGGCGCCTCAAAATGTGGTGTCGGTTTGGGGGGAAGTGGAGATCCCCTCTCGGTTTGGGGGGAAGTGGAGATCCCCTCTCGGTTTGGGGGGAAGTGGAGATCCCCTCTCGGTTTGGATGGCAGGCTGTCAAGAGTGAGCGGGAGGTCCGCCCTCGGTTTGGGGGGAATGAGAGGGAAGCAAAGAGAGGGAGGGGGGGTTGTGGGAGTGGTGCCGAATTGAGGTTGGTGGGAGTGGCTATGTGGTGTCGGTTGGGGGCAAAAGGGAAGAGGGGGAGGGGGAGGTGCGATGTTGCAAGGTGAGGGTGGGGGATTTTGCTGAGAGTTGAGCAGAGAGGGGGAACAGGGTGGGGAAATGAGGCCTGGTTGGGAAGTCATCTGTGTATTTATTTGAGCGCAGCACGGTCGGGATATGGGAATGATCCTCAATACTAGCATTGGGTCTTCTCAATGTGCAGCAAATGTGCTGGATGGTTCCCCATGTGTATGCCTGACATGCAGATCGGAGAGGTTACAACAACCAAGAAAGGACGCTTCGCGGTGGAGATCACGAGGTATATCCGACCAAAGCTTTCCCTTTATTGTGTATGCTGTGACACCCTACTGTGAAACGCTATACTGTGGAGGTGCCATATTGTCGTGGCATAATCTTGAATAAATGGATGGCTGCTGAATTGCTGTGGCGACATAACAAGCTTGCGCCGTAGAACAAGGGTGCCTGGAAATTGAAGAAACAAATAAGTGACATGTCATTAATATAGCCATGTGGGGATATAGCGGTGAAGCAAAAGATGCTGAAGGTTGTATTATGTGATCATAGGAGCAGATGCTGAAGGATGTGTTATTTGACAGACTTTGTTGCACTTGCCTTCGTTCAGGTATTTTACGAACGGGTACGTTCGATTTTGATGTCTTGAAATTTCGTTATTCACATCACATGGGCGCTTTTGCCACCAACCACGTTTGACACCACAGCATCCCAAAGATTTTGCCGAGAACCCCAAGTGTGTTAACAGACCAGTGCACTGTACACGCATAAGGCATCAGGCAGCATCATCATGTGTGTTTCACACATCGTCCGATCTGGGATAGGTTCGGGGTTCCACCGAACCATCCTTGTTTGCAGCACGGACGGCCAGATGAATGTCCTCCAAACCAAACGGGCAGATCACGTCTGGGACAAGCCACTGCCTCAGTTCTTGGCTCGGAAAGTGCAGTACAAGCCTGAGCCATCAGAACCCTTTATATATCGCTGCTGAGCTTCTTTTTCTTTAGTTTCTGTCTCCCTCATAACCTTGAGAGTTAGGCTCTGTGCTCCTCTCGAGCAAAACTCGGCATAGCCGTGCACAGCTTATCCTAACGTCAAGGCCGACTGGGTCGATCTTTAAAGCGGTCAATAGTTTTCCGTGCTTTATTTAAGTGAAATTTCTTTATTTTTTGTTAGTGGCACTCTCGCCATGGCGGAACCCTCGCCAGCACTGCCAAGCCAAACAGCCATGGTGCTTGACGAGGGGAGCCAACCAGTCGATCTAGTCAAGCACCCCTCGGGAATCGTGCCTGTACTACAGTATGTTCCTTTCCCGCCATATTCGTCGGTCTTACCTTGTTAGAAGGCCGCGTGAAGCCTGGTATATGCTGTGAAGGAAATGGGTTTGAATTCGACGTACTCGTCGGCGAGTGGGTTCTTTCTCCCTCTTTCACCCTTGCAGAAACATAGTCTCTACAGTCAACATGGACTGTCGGTTGGATTTGAAAGAGATTGCACTCCGAGCTCGAAACGCAGAGTACAACCCTAAGGTATGAAATGGCGCACGGTGACGTTCCTAGTTAAACGTCGTTATAGAGGACAAGCCTTAACTGCGGGGGATGCCGGTTATCAAGCTTCCGCCTCTATCGTAGGGATGGTCACTGTTGAGGCTCTGGAGGAGATTGTGTGATAAGACCATGGTCTTAGCTAGGCCTTCTGGCGAGCCGCAAGGGCTGAGTGTTTGCGTTGAAGCCTTGAGTAACCAAAAGTCTATGTTTCTGGAATCTGGTTTCTCCTCTCCGTGTCTACAGCGTTTCGCAGCTGTCATCATTCGGATACGCGAGCCCAAGACCACGGCTCTAGTGTTCGCCTCCGGGAAAATGGTAAGAAGCCTGCTTGTGTGGTAAATTCGGGATTGTCTCGAATCCGCGCTTCTGTGCGTGTTGTCTTTGCTGTTTAACTCTTGAATTGCATCAACTCCTCTATTGTTTATCCGCTTCCCGGATGCATCAGGTGTGCACGGGCGCGAAGAGTGAAGAGCAATCGCGGCTAGCTGCTCGCAAGGTAACTTGCACTTGTAGCGTTGGCCTCATTTCATTGTTGTTCCTTCCGCTGTTTCCCCTTCCGATTCTCCGCCACAGTTTTCGTTTCGTTTGAATGTTATTTGTGAGGCGTACAGGGCTATTTATGATCGTCCGTGTTTCTCCCTTGTTTTCCTTTCATGGCAGTATGCTCGTATTATTCAAAAGCTTGGAAACGACCAAGTAAAGTTCAAGGTACGTCGTGTCTTGTCTTGGTAACGTGATCCAAGTTACTGTTGCAATCATCTTAATTATTGGACGCGCTGATGCGGATAAGCGCTTCTATTTGTGACTTGTATTTCCCATTGATTGTTGCTGACACGCTCCGACGGTGCCTGATATCTGATCCTCACGTCTTCCAGGATTTCAAGATTCAAAATATCGTTGGTTCTTGCGACGTACGCTTCCCCATTCGATTAGAAGGACTGCAGATTGCACATCAACAGTTTTGCAGTGTAAGTTTTTTTCATTGACAAACTCAGCCTTTGTTATGTTGTAGACCTTGTACAGATGATTTTCTTCTCCTCATGAGTGTATTTTTGCTTTGGATCATTCTATGCACTTGTATGTTTCATCTTGATGGGTGTATTCTTCCTCACGGTTTCCCCTTTGTCGCCGCCCCTCTTCTCAACCATGCTGCAGTACGAGCCAGAGCTTTTCCCTGGCTTGATATACCGCATGAAGCAGCCCAAGATCGTGCTCCTCATTTTCGTGTCAGGGAAGATCGTTCTTACTGGTGCCAAGGTGCGTTATAGTGACCGTGTGTGCCTGGGTCTCCTGGGTGTGTCCTACTGCAGGATACTTGCACCTTTGACTCTCTTTTTTTTTCGGATTTTTTTCTGTGAACGTCTTTTTCTGTGTCACGTTTGTGTTGCAGGTGCGAGATGAGATCTACCAGGCGTTTGAGAACATCTACCCAGTGCTCAACTTATACAGGAAGATACAAGCAGGTGTGTTAACTTAGGTGACAGCCTTTGCAGTTGGTGCAAGTACCAGCTGTATTATGGCTGAAAACGGTTTGTTTGTATGTTACGTAGTGAATCCGCGTTGGGTTAGGGGTGTATCTCTATGTGCGTGTGGATGTGTGTTGTGCGTGGACGTGTGTGTGTGTGCATATTTTCTGTGTGAACATGCGATGCCTCTTGACCTGTTGCCTTGTGTACAGAGCCACTGCCACCTCCTGCTGAGACATGAGTCAAGCAAGGGGATCAACGGCTGCATTTTACAACCCTGCCATTAGCTTATGGGCTCCTACAAGGTGGCTAGTGTATTTACAAGGAGATGTGGAGATCACCTTATAAGCAGCTTTTGCATTGATGAGATTAAAGAGTTGGTCTCATCTTGCTACACCAAAATGCTTAACATTCTCATTTCCGATGTATACCCTTGCACTTGCTATGTAGTTGGGAGTCCCATATTGATCCCTCAGCAGCTCAATAGTACCGATATTAGGGCATGCCTTTTTTGTATATATATATTATCTAAAGCCATGCCATAGTGCAAACATTTCTTACTGCCACACTCAGCAGATTGCATTGCCATTAGTCATTATCAAAAGATCATGCTCTCTGGGGTCACACACACGGTTTCTCGCGCCGCGCCCCACTGCTTTGAGAAACAGTCAACCGCACAAAAGCGTGCACAGTTAATTGAAGGAATGGCTGACTGAAGAATCATATTCCATACATTTCTCAGCGGGCCACGTTAGGATTACATCAGGGATTCCCCATTCATTCTGGTGGCAGCACATTACGGTAGCCAGTTTCTCATAAGCACCCATAGGGAACAGTCAGAAAATTATAAATTTGCACGTTGCTTACGCGCGAGCGCGTACCATGGCTGTCATCCCGTTTCTCGGAACAGTGGCTGCCGTCCTAGTAGCCGTTTTTTTCGGCTTGCAGTCGCACTTAAACTCCAGCGATTTCCGTCCGCTTCCCTTCCACCCTCCTCCGCCTCCCGCTCCCGTCGGACCGTTTGCCGCTAACGACCGGCTGCTTGCCGTCAAGAAACTCGCTCTGGGAAAGGTTCGCGGTCCAGAAGACGTTCTTCCTGACGCTGAGGGAAACTTATATTCGAGCGATGCAAATGGATGGATTAAGCTTCTGAGGAAAGGCGAAGTGGAGCCTCTCGATTGGGTGCACGTCGGTGGGCATCCGTTGGGCCTTGCGTGGCGGAACGATGGGCGGGAATTGGTTGTTTGCGAGGCCATGAAGGTATGATTAAAAGCGAGAAGCCAATAGGTGTTCATAACACCAAAAGTTAATATAGACGGATTATGACCCATGAGGAAAGAGGCCATTCCCTAGACCAATAAAACACCAGGTAAATCGCAAAAGAGTAAACGGGAATGAACTATTGCGCGCAAGGAGACTCAATGGTTCCCTCAAGGTGGCGAAATTCGGCGAACGGAAGGTTCTCACAAAGTGTTTTTTGCTCTAGAGGCAGAGGGATTAGCAGCTGACGAAAGTTTTTTTCTCCTCGCTGTCGTCTCTCCCTTTCTGAGGCCCCAGAGTCTCCTCCTCGTGGGCGTGAAGAGTACGTTTGAGAACTCAGAAATATTCTCTCTTGTCACTCTGCTCCCCAGGGTCTCCTCGTAGTGGACGCGGTGATTCTTTTTGAGAAATTTAGAGCACTCTTTCGCTGTTGTCATTATGCTTCCCAGGGTCTCCTCCTAGTGGATGTGGCGTCTCGTTCCGTTCGTTTAATCTCCAATTCCTCTAATGGAATTCCATTCAGGTTGGACCTTCCCTTCATCTGCTCTGCACGCTCATTCCACCGCTCCATTTTCTTACCTTACCTTTCTTCAAGGGTCGTTTCCAGCACTGATTGTCCAGTCTGTTCCTCTGTCCTGTCCATGGCTATCCCGCTCTAACTTATTGATCTGTCCTAATCCTACATCTTTGTATCTCCCCCCTCCTACCCCTTCAAGTATCTGACCTTTGAATACCTGCCCCTCACCCTGTTTGCTGACCTCCCATCAGAATAACCGACAACGCTGATGTGGCGAGCGATGGAACCATCTACTTCTCAGATGCTTCCTCGCACTTTCCCGTCTCACATTTCTTCCTCGACATTCTGGAACAGAGGCCCCACGGCCGCCTGCTGAGGATCAACCCAGACGAGCAGAAAGCAGAGCTGGCAGAAGAGCCACGTCATGGAGAGGATGAGCATGCCACGTCAGCAGGGACTGCCAGCGAAGCGGGGCCTCTGGAGGCTGAGGCGCTTCTTGATGGGCTGTACTTTGCGAATGGGGTGGCGCTGTCACAAAATGAGGACTTCGTTGTGGTGGCTGAAACTAGCAGGTAAGCCAAGGAAAATATATAGAAAAATCGTTTGGGTCGGCTTAAAACAGGAAATGGGCAATTTTCACTTCAAGACGAATTTTCTATATATATTTTAATTTCAAATTTCCCTCTGAAATGGGCAATTTTCCCTTATATTTCCCTCCAGTGGGGTTTACTTGAACTGGCAATTCATTGGACCATTTTTGTGTGCCGGCTCCCCTTCTGCAGGTATCGCCTGACCCGCTATTGGCTCAAAGGACCGAAAGCGGGCACGTCGGAAATATTTCTGGACAACCTGCCCGGGTCTCCGGACAATGTCAACAGCAACGGGAAGGGCCTCTTCTGGGTGTGCCTTGTGATTGTAAGTTTTGTTTAATGAGCGCTTCGTTCCTAACACATCCTGATTCACATTCACACAACCAGCAACTTGAACTTTTATTTTTCTGGGTGTTCCTTGTCCTTGTCCTTGTCACCTTGTCACCTTCGCTTCACAGCAATACTTTCCAGCCTCGGCGGTCCACGAGTAATCATAAGGGTTTCTTTCTCTATCGAAGTATCTCCAACTGCCCTCTTTGTTGCGTCTCGTGTTAGTGATATCCTGCTGCTTCTCATCTATTTGTATTCCCCCCCTCCTTCCGCTCCTGCTCTTCCTCTCAATTTTCCCCCTCCCCCCCCCCCTTTTTCCCCTTCCCTCCCCCCGCTTTCCCCTCCCCTTCCCCCCGTCCTTTCCCCTCCCCTTCCCCCCGACCTTTCCCCTCCCCTTCCCCTCGTCCCCCCCCCCCCCCCCCCCCCCCTTTTCCCCTCCCTCATTCCCCCCTTCACCCCCCGCTCCTGCCTCCCACGCCACCACACAGCCTCGGCAACCAGTTATGGACCTTATCCATCCCTTCCCGCTCCTGAAGGCTCTCATTGGTCTGTTGCCTCTCAAGTACCTCCAGGCACCCTTCCTCGCTCCCATGATGCGCCATGCTGGCGCTGTGCTAGAGGTGAATGAAGACGGGCAAGTTGTGAAATTCCTTAATGACCCAACAGCGAAACATGTTGGAGGGTTTACAAGTGCCCGCGAGGTTGATGGCGGAAAGGAGCTGGTGTTTGGCAGCCTCTTGAACAATTTCATTGGTAGAGTGGCTGTGGAATGATGAGCCTTGTGTCAAACTTATATTGTGCGTATATTGTGTAGGCTATAGTGGGCTAGCCCACACGGGGTACAACCCAATTAGGGTTACGGTAGTACTTGTACCCAACTTTCTGTTCAATTCAATCATTCTCGTTCAGTTGTTTCAACATGGTTTCAGAGCAGGTCCTTCCTTAGGACCGATTTTTTTTAGGGCCCACCACAACGCTGACCCACTAGCTGCCCTGCCGCCCTGCCCTACATGACGCGCTGCCCTGCTGAGCCCCCGCGCCGCCCTTTGCTAGCCCGTCGCGCCGCCCCTTGCAGCCCGCGCGCCGCCTTTAGCAGCCCGCGTGCCGCCCCTGCAGCACGCTCGCCGCCCCAGCAGCAAGCGCGCCACCCCTGCAGACTGCTCGCCGCTCACCTGCGGCCCGCTCGCCGCCCCTGCAGCCTGCTCGCCGCCCGCTTGCGGACCGCTCGCCGCCCCTGCAGCCCGCTCGCCGCCCGCTTGCGGCCCCCTCGCCGCCCCTGCAGCCCGCGAGCCGCCCGCTTGCGGCCTGCTTGCCGCCCCTTGCAGCCAGCGAGCCGCCCTCTGGTGGCCCGCTCGCCGCCCCTTGCAGCCTACGCGCCGCCCCTTGCAGCCCGCTCGCCACCCCTTGCGGCCCGCTCGCCGCCCCTTGCAGCCCGCGCGCCGCCCTCCGGCAGACCGCTCGCCGCCCCTTGCAGCCTGCTTGCCGCCCTCTGGCAACCCGCGCGCCGCCCCTTGCAGCCCGCGCGCCACCCTCTGGCAGCCCGCTCGCCGCCCCTTTCTGCTGGCCGCCCTAGCCATGCGCCGCCCTGCCCTGCCCTGCGCACTTCCCTCGTGCTCGCGCGCCACCCTACCTGTGTGCTGCTCTGCTGGTCGCACGCCACCTTGCTCTGCCCGCTATGGCTTCTCTCAGTGTACTCACGTTCGATCATGAGGGCCGTCCGATTCAGTTCGATACGTGGCTCGACGACTTACAGCTGTACCTACTGAGCGATTCTAGAGACATCGTTTCGTTGTTTGACCACACGTCTGGAGCCTCTCTCGCCCCTCCCGCCACAGCTGACAGTGCGACTCGCTCACAGTGGCTTACCCGTGACGCTGCTGCTCGCTTAGTCATTCGCAACCACCTGCCGTTAGCCGAACGCGCTCACTTTGGCCAACAGAAGACTGCCAAAACCCTGTACGACGCTGTAGTCACTCATTACTCTTCCCCTGCCACTGCTGCTCTCGGCCGTCTTCTACTGCCCTACCTGTTTCCCGAGCTGTCAGCCTTTGCCACAGTCGAGGACCTCGTTACCCACCTTCGCACTAGCGACGCTCGCTACCGCTCAACCCTCCCAGCCGATTTCCTAGACAGGAACCCCCCCACCCCCCCCCCCCCCCCCCCCCCCCCCCCCCCCCCCCGATGTACATCACTCTCTACTTTATAGTCACCTGCCTCCCTGACTCTCTTTACGCAGTCAGGGACCACTTTCTCGCTCTTGACCCCACCGACCTCACTGTCGACCTGCTCGAGAAGCACCTTCTTGTAGCTGAGACTAGCGTAGTCGCTGTAGGTGCTGCTCGTGGCACTCCTCGCACACCCTTCTTTGAGGGGTGCTCCCCCTTCCCCCTTGCCCCCTCCTACGCTTCTGCTGCTGCTGTTGACATCCTTAGTGCTGAGGATGTTGGGACTGCTTCTGCTCTTAGTGGGAAGCGCCACATCGGCAAGGGCAAGGGTGGCAAGAGTGGTGGCGGTGGCAGTGGGGGTGGTGGTGGTGTAGGCAGTGGAGGCGGTGGCGGAGGTGGTGGCAACGGTGGGAGTGGAGGCGGAAGTGGGGGCTTCGGTGGCGGCGGTGGTGGCAGCGGTGGGGGTGGGGGTGGCGGTGGTGGCGGCAGTGGGAGTGGTGGCGGCGGCAGTGGTGGCGGTCGGGGTGGAGCTGTTCAGAGGGGAGGTTCTGGCGGTGACCAGAGGCACTAGCAGCGGGGTCGGAGCAAGACCCCTATGCCTCAGCAGCTTCGTGAGTGGTTTGCTCAGCGTGGGGCGTCTGGGGGTTGTGTTCATTGCCCGTATGTCATTCGCACAGGTGACCGTGCTGGTCAGACATGCGGGAAGCTTCACACTCAGCACCGCTGCTTCTCCCGCCTTGACGACGCTTGGCGCGCAGAGTTTGGAGACGAGGCTGAGCGCCCCCGCTGGGCAGAGCTGCTTAGGTCTGGAGTTGATATCTTGACTATGATGCTATTCTTGCTGCCATGTATGCCTTGTCTGTTAGTGCTGAAGGTGAATGTTACCTGTGTGTGCCGCCCGACCCAGGTATAGAGGCTGCTTCTCTAGGTGCTAGTGAGTCTGCTCTCCCTGATAGTGCGCTTGCTGAGGCCTTGCACACCTTTACGCTTGACTCAGGTGCTTCACGCTGTTTCTTTCGCGACAGGACCACCCTCACTCCTCTCTCTGCACTTGTCCCGGTCAGACTGGCTAACCCCTCAGGGGGCCCAGTTCTTGCCCGTTCTTCCACTGTTCTCCCATGTCCGGCGGTTCCGTCCGGCTCACTCTCAGGTCTTCATCTCCCCTCGTTCTCTACGAACTTGGTGAGTACCGCTGCCCTCCAGGATGCGATGGTCACTACCACCACTCCTGGGGGTCAGCGTGTGTCGATCTGCACGTGTACATGGACGGGCCGTCACCTGGCCACGTTCACCCGTCGGCCAGGGTCGAGTCTGTACACACTGACTGCTGAGCCTCCTCGGGTAGCTGCGTCTGCTCAGGTGTCCGCGTCAGGTCCGGTAGCAGCCCCCTGCTCGTGTCGCCTCCTGACGCACCAGACTCTCCTGTGGCACCACCGCCTTGGTCACCCCTCCCTGCCACGCCTTCGTGGCATGCACTCCCACCTCTTTGTTTCTGGTCTTCCCATGTCTCTGCCTTCCCTACCGCCCTCGCCTGCCCCGCCCTGCCTTCCTTGCGTCGAGGGGCGGCAGCGCGCCGCTCCTCACTCCTCCTCGTTTCCCCCGACGACTGCTCCCCTGCAGACTCTCCACATGGACGTGTGGGGCCCACCCCGCATCAGTGGACAGGGCTGCGAGAGCTACTTCCTGCTGGTTGTTGACGACTACACGCGTTACCCCGCAGTCTTCCCCTTGTGCAGCAAGGGTGGGGTCTCTGATGTCTGTCTTGATCCCTTGGATCCGCGCAGTCCGTCTCCAGCTCCGCGAGCGGTTCCGTGAGGACATTCCAGTCCTGCGTCTGCACTCTGACAGAGGTGGTGAGTTATCCTCCGACCTCTTGCGGGAATTTTGTTGTGGGGAGGGCATTCTCCAGTCGTTCACGCTTCCGGCCTCCCCGCAGCAACATGGGATTGCTGAGCGCCGCATTGGCTTAGTCATGGAGATCGCTCGTACCTCCATGATCCATGCGGCTGTTCCCCATTTTCTGTGGTCGTTTGCGGTCCGGTACGCTGCGCATCAGCTGAACCTCTGGCCCCGTGTCTCCTTGCCGGAGACCTCGCCTACACTGCGTTGGACGGGGAAGGTTGGCGATGCGTCGGTGTTCCGAGTCTGGGGCTCTCGTGCCTTTGTTTGCGATACGTCCGCGGACAAGCTCTCCTCCCGCGCTATTCCTTGCGTCTTCCTTGGCTTTCCCCCTGACGCGCCTGGCTGGCAGTTTTACCACCCCACCTCGCGCCGTGTCCTCCCCTCTCAGGACGTCACATTTGACGAGTCGGTTCCCTTTTACCGTCTCTTCCCCTACCGCACTGCCCCTCTCCCCCCCCCAAGCCGCTCTTCCTTGCTCCAGGTCCCCCTCCGGTAGACCCCCTCCTCCCTCAGGGTCCTGCTCCCTCAGGTGTGTCTCAGGTAGACCCACTCCCCGGGATTGTGCTTGACGAGGTCGCTGTAGACTCAGGTTCTGCTAGAGGTGCTGCGTCTGGGGGTGCTGCATCTGGGGGTGCTGCGTCTGGGGGTGCTGAGCATGCGCTTGCGGAGCCTGGGGGTGCTGAGCCTGCGAGTGTGGAGCCTAGGGGTGCTGAGCCTGAGGGTGCGGAGCCCGGGGGTGCTGAGTCTGAGGGTGCGGAGTCTGGGGGTGCTGAGCCTGGGGGTACGGAGCCTGGGGGTACTCAGCCTGAGGGTGCGGAGCCTGGGGGTGCTGAGTCTTAGGGTGCCGAGTCTGGGGGTGCTGAGCCTCGGGGTACTCTGGAGGTCCTACGGGTGCCTCGTCACGACTGTCTCTCCAGCGGGAGGCTCTCTAACCTCAGCAGCTACGCGAGTGGTTTGCTCAGCACACACGCCTTCGAAGTGGCACTGCAGGAGCTGGAGGCTCTGCCGCTGGAGGCACTGGAGCTACTCGTCTTGGAGGTGCAAGAGTTACTGCTGGAGCTGGAGGTACCGGAGGTGCTGGAGCTGCTGGTCCTGGAGGTGCTCGTACTAGAGGTACTGGAGCTGCCGGGGCTGCTGGTGTTGGAGGCGCTGGAGCTCGAGACCCTGGAGCTGGAGACCTTGGAGCTAGAGGCACTGGCGCTAGAGGTGCTGGAGCTGGAGGCACTGGAGCTGGAGACCCTGGAGCTGGAGACACTAGCGCTGGAGGAGCAGGAGTTGAAGACTCTGGCGCTGGAGGCGCCGGAGCTGGAGGCACTGGAGCTGTAGACCCTGGAGCTGGAGGTGCTGGCGCTGGGGGTGCTAGAGCTAGTGGTCCTGGTGCTGGAGGCACTGTGCAGCGGCGCCTGTTTTTCGTTCCGCCGCCGCCGTCGTCTCTGCCGCCACCTGAGTCGGTCCTTCGCCAGGTTCTTAGTCTCCCATCTTCGACTGGCCTTACTCCTCCCTTACTGTGTCCACCGCCTGACCAGTCGCAGCCACAGTTATAGCCAGGCTCCCCACCGCCTGCTCCTTCTCCTTACGAAGAGCAGACAGACTCTCTTTCAGAGCGTCGTGAGTCTGCGTCTTGTCTTGCCTCGCCTGTTCACGCTGTTCGCACTGGTCGTCGTGTTCCTTGTCTGCGTCCTCCTCCTGACCCTGGCACTCATGTT